ATATATATAAAAGAAAGATTTAGACATTATTTTAGACATCTTTCTCGGGGAGGGGAGACTTTTGAGACTCATGACCACAGTATTTATAAAATCCGAGCTATGGCCCTGAAACCTACGGTTTTTGTGGGCTGGACGTCTTGAGCAAAACAACAATGGTGTTGATAAAAAAACAACTTAAAAATTGAATAAATTACTCGTTGGTGAAGCTCGTAAAATTGTGTTTACATGGCGAGGCGCGCACACGTAACCCCGAGCGCGGGCACGCTCGCGTACTGTACACCGTGTGCACTCAGCTTAGGCCTCGACTTGACAGGTGCACAGTTCAACTGTGTGCAACACGGTGCACGAAGTGTACTTACGAATTAATTATGAACTCGGTCGTTTGGGCCGTTCCGCTGCACCGTCAGCTACACGTAACCGAAAACAAAAAACTGTTGTGGACGTGTATTAACGTGCGCCAGGCGATTTATGTATTCCCGCTTCCACCGTTACGGCCTCTAACGTTAACCCCCACCGTCTCTCTCTCGCCTCCTGCTGAACTTAAACCAGACTAGATAGGCGGCCATAACATGAGTTAAAACTTACCCCTTTCAGTCGCTTGAGGAGTGTGTTTTTCTGCCCGCTCTTCGGGAGGTTTCTTTGCTCCAGAGCGGCTTTTAAATCCGCCACTCGCAGCGATTGTAGAGGTTTCCCATCAAGCGTAATATCTTCGTCCGCCATTTTCCTCCATCCGCTTGTCTAAACTCCCAACTGGCGTCGCTACGGCTGCTGCTCAGCGTCACAGCTCGGCAGTTTCCGGAAAGGCTCGGTTTTGTCCGAACCACAGAGCAGTACAGGCACAGTAGCAGGAAGTGATATTGGGGCAGGTTGGGGCCCTAGCCAAACTTTTAAAGACGAGTTTATCTAATTTAAAGGTTTTTTATTCGGATTTTAACTAGTCTACGGAAAAGTACGGTATATGGAGTAGAAAATACACCATTTCTTTTTAAAATATTGATAATAGGTCTAAAGATATCCTGCAGACAAAAATTAACAGACTACTACAATAAACGTGTATATAAATAAATAATCCAAACACATTTGTTTAATTACAAAAGATGTATTTGTGCATTCTGAACAGGAATACAAGACAGACATCAAATGTAGTGTTAAATGTAAAAGGTGTATTGTTACTGTTGGGAGAAAAGTCAAGATTCACTTCTGTACCTCAGCAAATACAGATACTCACATGAGTTCACATAGTGTAGAAAACTTCCTTGTACAAAAGAAAAAAAAACAGCTACATCTTTGAACTGTAACGTAGTGTATTTTTCAGGAAAAACAATGTATTCGTTGTAAATTACCCAGTAATATCACCCCAATGGCGAAGTATGTGCATATATAAAAATTTAAGCAAATTAAAGCCATGCAAACTGTAAAACAAAGACCATAAAAATTGACAGTAATAAATATACTGCTAAAGGTTATTTGCCAATCATGCCCTCTCATCATACATACAAAGTTTCATTAAGTGACACTCCAAACCTCCACACGGTGGCACTGCAGCAGAGGAGACGAAGTATTCCTCAAAGAATGATTTAAACACAAGGGAGAAAATGAGTACGCAATGCCCTGATGAGACCGACTTTGATCTGGAAAAACAAAGAATGTAACAGCAATTCTGAAGTATTACAACCCAACTTTGTAGAGCACCTTTGTAGTGTTGAGACATGTTTTATAAGCCGTTTGTCTGCAGACCAACATAATAAATCGGCTAACTTGTAAAAATGAAAATGGTAGAACTCAGACTGTAATGTCTGAGGAAAGGAAATAGGTGTTTTGTTGGATTTAAGATGCAAAATTCCCCCTTTCCTATTAAAAAACGATGCTGTGCTTCATTTCACAGTTCCTACAAGGGCTGGGCAATAAGTACACATATATAAAAATGGCAAGTGTAAACTGTGAACTGTGTTCCACTGCGATGCTTTACATTATTACTGATTTATATATGTATCCACACCCAGCCTTGGCTTCTACCCGACATGAAACGATCAAAGCAGTAGTGAGTAAGCGCTGCTGACAGCAGTTGAGCATCTTGTGGGAAATGAACATAGAAAGTAAAAAAAGTACGCATGCAGATCACAACAAGACATGTGGAGACAGGTGAGCTTGGAACAGGTTTCTCATCCACGTGACTGTGAGAAAGAACAGGATTAGGTAACGTCTCCCACAAGTATCATAACCGACTCTCGAATATAATCTCTGTGTCAGACAGGATTTAATCTCCTTCTTCATGAGGCGTTCGCCTGCGTGTACGTACACTGAACGTGTGTTGAGGTTTCTCGTTGCAAGCTGTACTGCAGTGTGCTTTCTAGTGGAAACTGGTACGACACAAACACTACACGTACTTGCACAGATTTATGAAAGGAAGTCGAGTGAACTTCCTACTCCACAGCGTGCTCCCACGTCTTCCATATTAAGCCCAAAACACTCGATATGCTGCTTCAACAGCTTCAGAAGGATCAACACAAAAGGCCTTTCAGGTTAACAGTGGAAAGTAGGCCAGAACCAGGATGTTAGGCCATTTTCTGTGCTATTTTTGGAACAAGGGGTGGATGGCTGAATAAATAGAGGAAGGAAGGAAAATGGCTATCATGTGAGGGAAAGAAAATATGGCAAACATAATAAAGCAAAAGCTCCTCAGAGAGCCACGGAGGGGATTCAAATATTCAATAAGTTAACACTCAAAAAGACAAGTGTGCCTGGCATCAAAGCACGGAGAGGTCAGTATATAAACAAAAGGCAAGCCAACACACACTTGGAGGACAGAACCAACACTCACAACCCCTCTCAGTAACAGCTGCAGCGACAAGTGACCCTTATTCCAGCTTTTTCCACGCCGCCTGCTCCGATCCCGTTCAAACGCAGAAGAGAGTCTACCAACAAATAAGGCATTTCAAAAAAGAGAAAATATATATGTGTGTAGTAGTGTAAACAAAAGTTTCTAAGCAAGCAATATGAAATATCATGAAGATATTTCTGCCAGCCGCTGCAGCAGAGTGGAGAAGCCGGCCGCTTGCTGGGAGAGCTCGGCGACGCGGTCCACCATCTCCTGCGTGGCGGATATTGAAGGGTAGTTTTGTGCGGCGCCCTTTGTTGCAACGACAACCGTCTTCAAGGCCTGACAGAGTCGTCCACCTGAGGTTGTGATCTGAGGAAGAAAAAAAGACATAAAAACATGATTATTACACAACTTTGATGCATTTATTCCTCAACACACCAGCTGGACTTCATGTGCGTGGGAGGGTTTTCTCTACACACCTTGGCCCGGAGGTCGGCAGATGTGAGAAGGCGGGAGAGCGTGTCCCCGATGAACACCAGCTTGTGCGCAGTCACGATGAGACTCTTTCCCCGGGCGACGAAGATGCGCGGCGGCTGGTTCCCCTGCACGCTGCTGAAGAGCACGTCGATGGCGTCCGCCAGGCAGGAGAGGTGAGCGAGGCTCTGAGACGAGTAGAAGGACAGCAGCTCCGAGTCCTCCAGGGAGAGGGACGCAGGAAGTGGAGGAGACGGGGTCAACTGTGCAGAGGAGAGAGGAAGTTAGTGTTTGGAAGGGAAAGGCATGCTAGAGAGTCAAATATGTCTCTGGCACTAAATGTATCATCTTCTTTAAGCAGACATCTCTGATTGATGGAGTATAACTGTGTTCAACCCTCTTTTAAATAAGGTCAACGGAGTCTTACACCGAACTTAAAAGCCAGAGAAAGTCGTATATACAGTATGTCAGCGAGTGGCACTGTGCTTTTCTGTCACTTATTGTCCTGCAGCCTCCGTTCTATGTGAGGCAAGATTGTTAAGATTTACAAATGACCTCTTGTTGGTCGTCTATGGCGTAGCCAAGGAATCCAGCAAGGAGTAGAAAAAAAAAAAATGCAGACCGAGCGATAAGAAAACATGACCTCAGTGTCAAGAAACAGAAGAGCAAACTCAAGAGATAAGACAAGACACGGTTGTAATTCTGCTTATGTACGCGGTTACAAGCCATTCATGAGGTTCACGAGACATAAAATCAGGGGTTGACGGGACATTGGGTCAGGTGGTGTTGGGTAAACATGGTGTGTGCAGACTGACGATGGGTTTGTACCGCATCAAGAGCCAAAGAGCTGCAGCCGGCTGGATTAATGAGTCACAGTGTTCATTAGTAAACAGAGCACACAGGGAACAACACGGAGTGAATCAATGACTCATCTGTGTAGACTTGTTGTTAGTTTCTGTTCAACAAATACTTTGGGATTGCAGGAATGAAGGATTGTGTTTGTATAAAGAAAGAAGAAGAAGAGACTCACCGTTAGATCTGCATTGATGGTATGCATGTGTCCGTTCTCACCCAGAATATCAGGAAGTGGCTCAGGTTTACCCTAGTGTGGGAAAGAGAACAGTCAGGCATGTTTACAGACACATTTAGACTCCATGTTTGGTAGTATAGTAATCATTAATCCTCATGTGCACTCAAGACCGTTAGCAGCAAAGGTACAGATGTGTTTAAACAGAAAAAACACATCAGAAAGAGAAACAAACGGGAGAAAATACAAAACAATTTCATCATGACAACTGACCTGCAGCTTGACGTATCCAACGCTGTCTCCAGTAGGCAGAGGGGCCGGGATGGGAGTCAAGCCGATCCCCGCGTACTCATTGCTGGGGTCATCCTCTCCGTCACCGGGGCCTATCGTCAGCGTCACCGTCGACAGAGTGGGAGGAATGGGGAAGGCGGGCTGAGGGGTTGGCGGCAGGGGCCGCTCCTGGATCCAGCTACCTTTACGGGAGCCCATCCCACCGCCCGAGGACTTCCCATCGGGCACGGGGAGCGCGGGCAGCGGCCTGCGGGACAGAGAGTCTTGGGAAGACAAACGCGGGCGGCCCTGAGCCTGCAGGAGGAGGGCGCTCTCCTCCAGGGAGCGCTGGACCAGCGCCAGCAGCCCTTCGGACGGCGGAGCGCCGCCGACAGCGGACAGCGCCGGCAGGAGGTCCGACAGACGAGCCCACGCCTGCTGAAGGGGCGGCGGGGGATCATCGGAATGACACGCTTTCCAGGTCGACAGGATTTCAGCCAGCGACGTGGCCAGGTCCCGTGACGACAGAGCGGAGGCCGAACAGGAGGCCGCGCTCAGCACCGAGTGGACGAGGCTGGAAAGCGTGGCTCTCCACTGCACGTCGCCCGAGCCGTTGCTCGAAACGGAGAGGCGGCGGGTAGAGGTGGAGGACGACGACAAAGAGTGGGGGAGGACTTCGGCGGTCAACGCGGGCATGTCGTAGATGCCACAGTCGGGCTCAGAAGAGTCCCGGTTGTGACTTCCGCCACTAACTCGTTTCTCAGATCCGGGGACACGGTAGGCCTGTCCGACATCCTCGCCGGAGAGGCCGACGGTGGACTCTCCTGGGCCCAGAGGCAGCCCTGGAAGAGTAGGAACACTGTATACGTCCTCGTCGACTTCTTCAGGCTGGACATCCGACGTGGACAGATTGAGAGTGATGGTGGGGACATCATAGACCTAGTGGAGGAGAAGACAGAGGGAGCGTTTTGGAAATGATGCGTGTTCACTTTATGATTGTGTGGATCATTTCTATGAGACAGTGTATTCATTGTGCATTGACACAATATGGGGTTTCTGTGTCAATGAAGGGAACAATGGTGCATCCACAATAGTGGAGGTTCACAGAGTTTGAAACAATAGCATGTGTCGTGTGAGTTTAAAATACTTTAGACTTCCTTTAAAGCTGGCTTATGCATTGGATGATCTGTTAAAAGTAAAAACACATGCCGTCACATGAGTCACCACAACCACCAAATGTGGGCAGACACATTAGTCCCCTGACAGAGCTGAGTCTAAAAGCAGCGCGTCTGTGTCCAGTAATTGCAGGCAAAGAGGAAAAAAATAATCCAACAGCTGGCGGATATATTTAAGTAACGTTAAAGGGGAGACCAGTGGGGGGGCAGGGTGCTGGTGGCCTGGCCCTGACAGATGGGTGTGACTGGGAGAAAATAGCAGCAGCATTTGGACTGGTTAGACAGGCTCCCCCAGCAAAGAGAGACAGGTGTGGCCTCGCCTCGAAGGGGGGGCAGGGAGACAGGCTGATGGTGGAATGTGGGAAGAAATGGTATCGGGGTATATGATAGTCATCTGTTGTTGGTGAAGCTCTTCACTTGTGCAGACATGAATTCAACACACCAGTTTACGAACGGTTCCCAGGCTGTGTTAGTAGATTCTAACATTCATAAGGATTGTCATTTGACTGTTTAATTATAGGCTTCAGACAGAAAAACCTCCATACGTCATTGATGAAAGTTTAATGTCTGACAAATTTTATGTAAACAGACACTTCAATCTCCAAAATATGAGACAAGTCATAAATGTAAGAGGAGGTTAAATACATATTAAACGATACATATTAGAAAACAAGTACAAACAAAACGGGTCGATCTGTGGCTCAGTAAGGATTGTGAAGGGTCGTCTTTACCTCTGTCTCAGGATCAGTTTGTGGCGGGACACTGCGAGGGGTGTCATAGATGCCATCATCATCATCATCATCGTCACCACCAAGGGAAGATGGGACGGGGCGCTGCCACCTGCCACTGGGAGGAGTATCATACACCTACCAAGATAAACCATTAGAATTGAAGGTTTCGGTCGATCAAAAGTTGTATATATTTCAAACATGCCGATGAAACGTGGACAACATGCAAACTCTCTCCACTAACAAAGTTCTGAAGATAAAATACATTTTGGGAGCAATTGAAAGTGGTAGGTGAAGCAGCCATCACAAACCTGGTCATCCACGTCATCCGAGTAATCCCGTTTGTCTCCTTTTTTGTTCAGCGCGTTGTTGCTTTTCTCCAGGACGTTACTCGTCCTGTCCTCCTTACTCTGAGGACCCCCCCCCTGTTTGTCCTCCTCAGAAGTGACCTGAGCGGTGGGTTTGGGGACATAGTTAGAATCCGTCGATGACGGCGCTGCATCTTTCCTGGTGACTCCCCTCACCGGAGGTGCTGGTGGAGGAGGTTTGCGGGCGAAATTTGGTGAGCCGGGAACCCTGACCTGCCCTGCTCGGACCAGCGAAGGAGACCCCCGGTGACAGGCTAGGCTGGGTTTGCCCCTTGCGGGGTTGGGTGAAACTCCCTTGAGCAGAGGTCTGGGAGATGCTTGCATGGGAGATAATTGAGATGGGTGCTGGTGGGCCAAAACTGTGGCTGAAGTCCTGTGGAGGTTTGCCCCCACAGCGGTGGGTGTTTGGTACATCCCAGGTGTGTCCTGGCTCACTTTCAGCTGGGGGGTACCATTCGAGCACGCAGCAGAGCCCACAACTCCTCCTGTTGGGGATTGGTAAACATCGTCACCTGCGAGCGGTGTACCTTTGGGCACCAAATAACAGTCGTCCGAGTGTCCTGTAGTTAGTGTTTCTCTAGGAACTAGATATGTAGTGTCCTCTGGTTCATCAGCTGCCCTTGGAATTCCAGTGGGGGCGAGGTACACGGACTCTGAAGCTCCTGGTTGTCTGGCATGCTGAGCCGCTGAAGGCATGGGAGATACTGGAGTCTGATAAAGCATTCCTGTTATTTCTATGCCTCGGCCTCTCAGAGAGGGTGAGCGCGGACGCCCCGTCACCCCTAAGTCCCAGTCAGGTCTGGGCCGGAGGCCAGAGCTCGAGTGCGAGCGTGGGCGCCCGCTCTCGACCCTACGGAGCTCCCCGGGCCTCAAGGGAGCTCCTCGTGCCTCACCAACACCGGGCGGGGAGCGATACACTCCATCTATGTCATCTGCACTGCCGCCGACAGCAGTCCGGTTCAGTGGGGGGACAGGCGACAGGTAGACGGAGTCCTCGGCGGGGCCACGACGCGGGTCGGAGCCTGGGGGCGGGGCGGTCTGGAGGAGTCGAAGACGGTTTGCGGGGGCAATGCCCTGTCTGCCATGCAGGGAGCAGAGCCACCAGCCCGGCCCACCACCCTGCTCCTGTTCAAGAACCATCAGTATGTCACCCTTCCGGAAAGCCAGCTCCTCCGGGCTCTCTGCCGCGTTGTCAAACAGCGCCTTTGCCAAAACCGTCTGAGAGAAGAGGACGAGACAAAAGTAGAAATCGTAAACACGGACCACTTCCATTCATTAATTCAGAACAACAAACGGCCATTAAAAGTAGGTTTTAATCGACAGCCTAAATTCCCCACGAGCTAGTATCTCACATCTGCATAACACAAACAAGCCAGTACATTGACATGGCAATGCCAAGTCAGGAGTATCAAAAGGGTGATTGTTTGGGGCCATTGAATGGAGAGTGAATAGGAGTGAATGGGGAAGATCTCGTTAAATGTCCATGCGAGAGACGGAGGGACAGGAAGAGGTTGGGTGAACACAAAGAATGGAAAAAAAATGTAAAAGCTAGCATCATGACAAACTACAAAATTCACAGCTGTGTCAATAATTATGAGGCGGAGAGAAAGAGGGGCACAGTCGGGGAGGATCAATGTTCAATTGGACACAGGGGCTTAATGGTGAGCAAGATGAGAGGGGGGGGAGGGGATAAGAGGCACATCTGTCCCTCGCTGTTTAGGATTTAATTGCCAACCTAAAGCCAGAGAGTCAGGCCCTCCTTTCATTTTCTAAACCAACCCCCTGGGGACAACTGGGCTCCACTGAGCCATGTGGGACCCCCTTTAAAACAGTAATGGAGGCAATGAGGGTCCTGATTAAATGCTATAGATATGGTGAGATAATAAACAATGGGAAAACCATGTCAAACAAATGATACATTATTTAGCTTTAAAATAGTTTAATTGTGAGAGAGTTAATATATACAAAAGAGACAAATACTGTACTCACGGAGACAGACATCGTTGCAAAGTTAACAGTAACGTCTCAGTTAGAAGATAACTCCAGGGTCCTGGTCAGTCTGGGTCGTCCATCTAGATCTGAGGTTATGGTTCTCATGGACGTGCTGGTCGCCGGAGAGACTCGGTGCAGAAGCACGGCAGAGTCGGTGGAGGACACATCTCACTCGTCCGGACGCCTCGTCGTCTCCGCTTTCACACGGACCCTGGTTTCTTCACGACACATTCATAAAACACACACACAAGACAGTTAGCAAAACCCCCTCCCAAACTCAAGACATCGCGGGGCACGTGTGAAGCGAAAGGTAGGCGGGCAGCGGCGACACCTGTCTCTCCTTTCCACGCCCAGTAACGTTACGTTAAATGCCAAGCGAAAGCTAACTAAAGCTAGCGTAGCACCAGAATTAAATAAGCGGTGTCCAGTCGCCATCAAATATTTATTTTGTCTAATTATAAATAGCTATCAAGGTATAAAGGACGGTTCATTTAAGTGTGGGCAAACGCTGGCTTCAATAACGCGAGCGGTGTAGCCGCGGCCTAGCTGCTAGCTAACGTTAGCTACGTTAAATGTAGTTATCTTCATCGCCTTTCGCTCCTAAATTCAGTCCAAAACAACAATGGCACCGCCGGATAAACCCGCTTAATCCGATATGTTTCCAGTAAAAGTGAGCACCCAAAGCCGCCATCATAAAATAATTAGCGTTACCTTGTTTTTTGTATCTTTTCGCCCATAAACTTCGCATCGGCGTACGGTCCCAGAATACGTAAAAATCACTTCTTCTCAGGCGTGAAAATCTGAGGCCATCGGCGTTCCATCATCTTCGGCGATGACAACAACGTTGGCTCCGCCCCCTCAGAGCGTCACGCAGTCCACTGATCTAAAAGCATAGCACGAGCGTGGGCTTCAGGCTTTTAGAGCAATCCAAGACGTGTGAGCTCGCGCTGGTTTCCGCTGTTATGATTGGCTCGTTGTTGCGGGTTGCGTTTAGGGACGTCCGGATTTTGTAGTTAATCAGAATACTATGCTTTGAACTGAGAAAAAACTAAATATGTGGTCCACGCTATGTACATTACCGGACAGTACAGCAAAATGAATAATTTCCTGAACAAATGGCATCATTGTTTCGACGGACTTCGTTGTACAGTTGAATTAAAGAGCAGGCAAGTTCGTAAACCGCTTGCTGGAGGCTTTTATTTTGACAGCGCGACCCGGAACATACAATGAATCGTCGGTAGTCAAAGGTCCAGAAGTAGACTTTGGCTTTTAAGAAATTCTTCCACTGTTCAACCTCATATTCAGTATTGCATGAACTGCAGGGTGAGATAATGCTCTTGATCACATTTGCGTAATTGCATTAGTTGCTTCAGCAATGTAGCCCTCTGCGTAAACTTTTACTAAATTGTCTTGAGTTTGCCTTTAATACCAATCAAGTAGTGTATCGTTGCTGTAGCGTCAACATGTATCAATAAGTGTATTAATTATTTAACTTAAGGGACATATCAAAAAAGTTGTTTCCAACTCTGTTAACTAATTGTTTACTTCTATCTCTGCACTTAGCTTGTGCACTGCTGCTGTCAGATGACCTCTACCCTAGATACCCAGTGTTTTCATAACAATAATATTGGTGACTATTCTGTGTTCACAGGTGATGTTGAGGAGTGTATTCAGGTGCCTTAGGACCAATCCTGTTGCTGGCCAAAGAAGTATGTCTCAAAGTAGCCTTGCTGGAAAGGTAGCCATAGTCACTGCCTCCACAGATGGGTATGAATTACATTATGAATTCCTCTTTTGTCTAAACTCTCCAAGAAATATGATGTTGATAATTTGATTAAGCTGGTATTGAGAGCATCCTCACTGGCTTCGCAATAACTGAACTGTAACCGCAACACACAGTCGTGTTGTGTTCGGAGTTTGCGCTCTCTAAAGCAGATGTCACTACATTACATTGAATTGGCCGAGGATGGCACCTGCAATGATCTCAAACAATTGCCTCATAATAACGTCATATAAAATAGCTACAATTGTTACAGACTTGATCCATTACTGAGATGCTCTTCTCCTCCTCCTCCTCGTCAGAATTGGTCTGGCTGCAGCTCAGGCTCTGGGAAAGAGAGGAGCCCATGTGGTGGTGAGCAGCCGGCGGCAGGCCAACGTGGACAAGGCCGTGGCGCTGCTACAGAGCCAGAGCATCCAGGTGACTGGCACCACCTGTAACGTTGGCAAGGGAGAAGACAGAGAACAACTCGTCCAAACGGTGAGTCCACATGGCTGAATACCAGCAATTATGAGGTCGTCAGTGATTCGTATGACTTATAACCTCATTAATAGTCTCATTCTGTGTTTGGACTAGACTCTGGATGAGTGCGGCGGCATCGATATCCTGGTGTCCAACGCAGCGGTCAACCCTTTCTTCGGAAACATCATGGACTCCACAGAGGACATCTGGGACAAGGTACACAGCACAGACGAAGCCCCGGGACTTGCTGAACAAGCAAATGAAGAATTGTGTGAAAAAAATCATTCTTCTTCCTCCATTTATTTATTTGAATATGGGATCCTTTCTCTCTAGATCCTGTCTGTAAATGTAATATCGGCCTTCCTCATGACTAAGTTGGTGGTTCCTCACATGGTGAAGAGGGGGTGAGCGACAAACTAAAAGAAGATCCAAAGAACAAAGACTTTACAACTCCATGCTGTATATTTAATCCTAAATGCTCTGTATTTTCCTTTTTAGAGGGGGGAATGTGGTATTTGTGTCGTCTGTGGCTGGATACCAACCGATGCAGGTCAGTGAGAGAACAAGCAGGATGTTGATATTAAGATAAATAGGTCAAGTCCCATGTGAATGTATGCATGTTAAGGACACCGTGTCTCCGTCTCTGCAGGCTCTGGGCCCTTACAGCGTGAGTAAGACCGCTCTGCTGGGTCTGACCCGGGTGCTGGCCCCTGAGCTGGCTCACAGTAACATAAGAGTCAACTGCGTGGCCCCCGGAATCATCAAGACCCGCTTCAGCTCTGCGGTGAGGAGGGAAAAACACACACGGTCACACACTCAGATCCTGCATTTGCTGTGTTTTCTTTGTTTATTTGCTCTCGATAAATGTTAAAATTTCTTTAATAATACACCGTGTTGTTCCAGTTATGGGGAAATGAAGACATCGCGGAAGAGTTCAAAAAGCAGCTCAGCATTAAAAGGTACAGCCCATTGTCACAAGTGTCTCACTAATATGCTGAACAATGAACACATGAACACCATATTTCACATTGTGCTCTTCAGAATCGGAGAGCCGGAGGAGGTCGGTGGAGTGATTGCCTTCTTGTGCTCAGAGGAGGCTTCCTACATCACCGGAGAGACCGTCACGGTGACTGGAGGGATCGGATGCCGACTCTGAGTCAACAGACTTGTGTGTTCCTGTGTAGATATATACGTTTTGATTATAGTTTGACTGCTCTTCTCAAGTGTTGACACAGCACAGCCAGAATACATTTAAAAACCTTCATACCAGAGCAAATATAAGCCTCAACAATTTAATTTAATTTCTAGTCTGTTTGATAAGATGACATTCAATTTCTAAATAAATGTGAAGGATTTCAGTCAATGATACATGCCCCTATGTAATGTTTAATTACTTAAATATACATATTGACAAACCCAGTAAAAACGACTCACTTATTCCTTCTACAGCACACATCACATTAATTGGATGCAGGAGCAGTTCAAGAAGAGCGTGCGACACTTTGTTCACTGAGCACATGATACGTTTAAAATATTCTGGTCTTTATTTCATGCACAGTAACAATTTAAAAAGGACACAAGTTTGCATGAGGAGTGCCTATAATCATTTCACTTTCCACAATGACAAACCACTGACGGTTCATATCTGATTCAGTTACAGTGAAATCATAAATCAAGAGAAAGGTAACGATAATAAATGTCCATCAGCCACAGTGGCTGGTGAAAATCCAAAGTATTTTGGGATTTTCTTTCAATGCAGCTGGTGGAGAAAACCCAACGTAACCACAGTTTATGTCCTCTGGCGTCTTTCTGGCCAGCCATCTTGGCAGTAAAATCCATCTCATCATCTGCGTTTGCTTCCAGCAGATGTCAAGTTTCGCCGCGTCATCCCGGGCTTCCAGTACTCCCTCAGAGTGGGAACGTATGTGCCGTGTTTGGTCTTGCAGTAGCGCTTCATGAACAGCTGAGGGAGACAGTTAGAAAAAAAACAATGATGACGGATCAAACTTTATTGAAATATCAGCACAAATGTGAGGAGAGCCATATTTATTCTACCAGTGAAAACACTTTGACTGTCGGTGTGTTATTTGGTCAATTTAAAAGGCTTAAATTCACTATGTTTTAGGTTTAAGTGTGACATCCGTTTGAAATTACACATAGAGTTAATCTTTCTTTGTTAGGCTTCAATCATGTTACAAAGAAGTCAACAGAATATTCCTCAGGATGAATTTTGCCAGATTTCTTCTTTCTTTTTTTTTAAATAAATCAATTATTTTTAAGCATAGTCAGTGGAAATGTTTCTCATGTTTGGAGGATACATACCCTGACTTTGAAGTTCTTCGTCACCTCGTCCTCAGAATCAGCGACGTAGTCGTCAGCGTCTCCTGGAAGGCCCGACATCACTAAACACAAAATACAACAGTTAAAAATCCGTGCAGGTGATTTTTCATTGTTGATCTTGTTACTTTTTTTTCTATTCTCTGCGTTTTAGGAGACATGATGTGTTGAGTCACCTGTGTTACGACGTAGCAGAGACGGAGAGCTGCTTATACTCGGCAACACAGGAAGATTTCTGTCAAGTAGAAACACCACAATTAAACCTTTTACTAAGTCGCTTTTCTAGGGGCATTATAATTTAAGTCTTAAGAATACCACGTAACACTGAAATGCAGTGGAATCATAAATATGTTTCTCTTTATAAGACCTGAAATTCTAAAAGAACGATATACATATTTAAATCACTAATAATATCTGACGGAGACAGAAAAACCAAATGAAACCAGAAACATTGAACTAAATCAGTTGGCTTTATTGTATTTGTAGAACAATGCTAGTTTAAATATCAGTGAAATGTCGTCTCAGTGAACTCCTGAACACAAGGAAACCAAGGCAGAGAAAAAGCTAGTTAACAAAATTAGGAACAATGTAATTTAGGGTTTTTAAAGCTGGTTGCTGAATTCTTGCACTACAAACTTGACATAACGTGAAGGCGTATTCGGCACCATGCGCGCTGTATTCCCAAATCTCTTACTCTTTGTCGTCCAGGCCAGGGTCATCCGAGTCAGGCTTTAGAGGTTGGCTGTGAATCTGCGCTTCAGCTTTGACCGGTGACTTCCTCCTCGGAGTCTCCCGTTTGGTACCTGAGGAGTTACCTCCTCCAGCAGCCCCGTTAGCGCTAGCGGGAGTCATTTTTTCAACAATAACTCTGGGTTGGCTCCTCAGGCAAGAGACAAAGATGGAGCAGAGGAACGGATCTTCAGGCAGGTGCAGCGTTTTGATGCCCAGCTGGGTCATGCAGGTTTCCAGGGCTGCTCCGTTACACTCCTCGTTCCCTACAGCTCCGTCTCCTTCGCTCTCATTTGTCTTCTGGTCGCCTTCGTCCCGCTTGAGCATGCTCGCTCCATTTCTCAAACTCCTGCTTATCCTGTTTTTCCCAGAACTGGACGGGCCAAACACTTCCTCCTCCTCGTCGGATTCACCTTGTACTTCGTCAGGTTGCTTGCGTTTCATTCCACTGCTTCTTTTCAAGGCTGTCCTCTCCCCCTCCACTTGTTCTTCACCATCTTTTGGTTTGTGTCTCTCTTTAACCGCAGTGTATTTCAGGTTCTCTTTGGGGTGAAAGTGCTCATTTGTTGCCTTTTTTGTCCTGATCATAACTGGCACATCTTCATTAGATATTAGTCTGATAACAGGTGTAATAAATGCTGTTTTGTCTCTCGTCTGTGTGCCATGGGACTGGTCCACTCCAGACGTTTGAGCTCCTGTTGGTGGATTTGAAGGTATTCTTCCAGAGGGTGGCAGAGAAAGTGAAGATAGGATGGAGTCTCCCATGTTTGGAGGGAGGGATGCTGTAAAAACCAAACATGTGGATAATGAGAATTATTAGTGATCTAGTCATTCTGGATAAGAAGATACACTCAGAAGTGATGTAGTTCTACCTGCAACCTCCAGATGGCCCAGACAGGTTTGATGTTGAAGCAAGATCTTCAGGAGCTGCGGTTGAGTGGCGGCCCGCGCACACTCCTCCAGGACAGCGGGGGCGTTACTGAGCCACGCCACGGTCTGGAGACAAACGATGAATATATAAACTGTTTCTTTCATTTTGAAATGAAAAGAGAGGTGTAGTGAGTGACAAATAAAGGGAAGCTGTTCTCAGAAGCACCAACTACCTGAGCGAGGCTGGGAACCGGAAGTAACTGGTCCAGTCGAATCAAAAACTCCCAGAGCAGCTTCTCCAGCTCCTGGTCGTACTTTGGACCGTAATCCACAGGAAACTCCTCCTGTGAGAGGAGAGAAGAAGAGTGTTTGGCCTTCACATTCCTACGAACCTCTACTGAGAAATGACCACAATAGAGACTGATAGCAGGTCTGCTGCTGGATGACCGCAAATAAACATGAGAAGAGGGACTCACCTTGAAGAAGAGCTCTCTATCTGTTGGGTTTTTTAGCAGAGTGTGAACCAATGAATGGAAATTTTCCACCGTTCTCAGGATTTTTACATCCCTCCTCTAGCAGAAAAAAGCAAAAATTACACCTATTCCATACATGAGTGACAGCATAAAATGTGTCATATCTGTATTGTAGCAATGTGCAACGGAGCATTAAGAGTATGACAAAAATCTCAGTGCAATTGTTGAGTATTAAATTCAATGTACCATAGCAAGAGCAGAGGAGGATGACAAAGCAGCAGGAGCGCACATCCTCTGCAGGTGTGGCATGATCACCTTTTCATCTGGCTGTGTACAGCACAGCTCCAAGATTAACTGAAAACAAAGGGTACAGTTGATGACCAGTCAAAATAGGAATATAATACTGAAATAGGGCAAAAATGGTGATGATGCATCTATCAAACAGGACAATAGAGATAGGAGAGGTATCATTAGAGTCCCGTCAGAAGCTCACCCGTCCTCTCAGCCCCAGTGCCAGCTTGCCCTGGTGTCTCACGGTGAGCAGCCCCGGGACGGTCTCACAGGCGGATGTCACGACCTCCTCCACCACCCCGTACTGCATCACGTCCCTCTGCTTCATCACCTTCCAGAGGGCTGCAGACACCAGGCGCACAGGCGGGGCCAGGAGCTGGAGGGCAGCAAAGGGAAGGCTGACATCTGGGCAGGAGACAAAGGAAAGATGAGACAACAGTGGTGCATTCACAGCAACTAATGTGACTTAAAATGTGGCACTGCTGGCTACAACCCAATCAGTGATGCTGGAGTCTCCTATCAGCTGACTGATCTACCCAGCTGTGTCTGGCAAGATGTGGCATGACTCCACTGACAGCCACAACTTAAATAAACATAACTAACCTCATTCAACATAAACCAGGTTCACTAAAACAGTTTAAAGGCTATTAATACTCACCATTCTCCTTGTGTTTTCTTGTAGCCATGTCACTGAAACAGCTAGCTAGCCTATGGAGGTTAACACTAATTGACCACAAGCTGACGTTAATTTAACGCTAGCTTAGCAACTTAGACACATTACTGCACGAGTAAACTTAAAGCTTAAGCGGAAGTAACAGCTTAACAAAGTTGTTAATGAAACGCTGCTGAGGTTATGTTTACTCCGCACTGTGTTTGTCGTTGCACCCTATCGCTGTTGTTGTTATTGTTTAGCCGCCCGAAACAAAGCTCCGTCAAAAGTTCTGCTTCTCATCCTCCCGCCTTCACTGGACGATGTCGATCTTCTCTTATGCTCATTCGCCTGCACCGAGTGGGCGGTGCTTACGCGCATTTGGAATGAAAGACTGTCGGCTCGGACAAAAAGTCCGCCCGCGCGTGCACTGTGATATTTAAAACAAGCGCGCCCATCGATGTTAACAGGACATGACGTGGCAGCAGATCCGACAGCCGTTGGTCCCATCTGTTTTACTATTTCTGTGATTTTACCATATTCATTCTATGGATTTTACTGCTTAAATGTGTTATAATAGTATAATAAACAACAGCATTTGTATGTAATGATGTGAACAATATTACAGTATTTTTAGGAACACTGAGCACGAATTGTGTGAGAATTAAAACTAAGATAATTGCCCAGAGAAAAGGCCAAAAAAAAGAAAATTAAAATTACAAAATTAAAGAAACGAACTGTTATACAAACCATGACAGGTATCAATATGAGTTTATATCCCTACAATTAGAATACAATTGCTAAAATTGTAAGATATCAATATTGTTGTGATGTATATATCTATATGAAGTGAGCCAGATAAATTCCCAGGGACAATATTTTAGCTGTCAGTCGAAAAATGATAAGGAATTGCAGTACAGAAATAAAAAAAACAAATATAAGGAATCCTTATCAAAATTGTTATTTTGTGTAATACTTTCCTATACAATCAGATTTTTTAAACTCTCAAATATCAATACTGGTATCAATCTCAAATACCCAGTATCATTCGGGCTGGAGATGTATTAACTCTTGTCAGATGACAAAAGTCTCTCACATACACACACAGATGAACTTTGCTCTGTGATTTTCTGTCTTTGAGTTATCACCAGGCTCGGGGCAAAGTCCATCTGCTGGGTCAAACACAAGTAGTGCTGACATTATCACGATTTGTTACACCAAAACAACTCACCAAAAAAACAAGTCTGTGAGAAGAGACACAAGGAGACGGACGAGCATGGATACAACATCTTCATTTATCAAGTAAGTGAACAATTAGTTTTGGGCTTGTTGATATTCTAGTGATTTGCTTCATGATCTGCTTGATCAACGATCCAAACAACATTGTGTGGCTGTTGGAGGTCCAAAAATCAATGTAGGACTTAAGTAAGTGAGTAATTAACTCAATGTAAGATGTAATTTTAAGATGAATCTTATCTTATGACATTCAATTCTTGGCCTGTTATAGAGCCTGTTACACAGAAGACATTTTGACATGTGATTCACATTAAACAATCTAAATACCTTTCTGTGTGGTATTTCTTCAGATCTGTGACCAAGCGAGTGTGGTCCCCACCACAGCGTCCCTTCAGAGTCTGCTGTCATGACAGGGAGACCAGGAAGGGCATCACGGCCGGGACCCTGGAGGAGCTGAAAGAGAGGGTGAGAGGGACTTAAAAAACAAAAATATCAGAAAAGGTTCTGATCAGGGTGAAGCTGCTTGCCCTATATATAATACAATATCATAAAAACGAGGAAGAATGTAAAATGAAAATTACTGGTAAAAGGAAGTACTATATATACTATAAAATCTTTTCTATGTAACTGAATCCCCAAAATAAAATAGTTGTCATACACAACAGCAAAGTGTACTATTTAGGACGTTGAAGCTCTTTGTTCTCTCGTGCACTAACTTGAATCTGTGCTGCAGGTGTGCCAGGCTTTGCTGCTGTCCCTGTCTGCGGTGTCTCTGTCTCTGGCCTGTGAGGAGGACGGTACAGAGGTGGACTCCGACAAATTCTTCATGACCCTGCCTGACAACACCATGCTCATGGCCCTGGAGCCTGGACAGACGTGGAGACCACAGCCGGTACGTTTGCCCAAATGTTATTTATTTCATAGCCCCTTATGTCCTTTATGTTATGCCTCACACAGGCCTTTTTTGTCTTTGCATAACGCAATCACAAATATTTAATATGTGACTGTTGTCTCTCATCCACCAGGGTGCAGTCGTGTCCAAATCTCAGGAGCACAAGCCTCGGACCGGGAGAGACATAGCTCGCGTCACCTTTGACCTGTACAGGATCAGCCCGAAGGATGTCTTTGGCTCCCTGAATGTGAAGGCGACATTTCAAGGCCTGTACTCTGTGAGCGCCAACTTTGAATGTCTGGGGCCCAAGAAGATCCTCAGGTAAGTCAGAGGGAAGAGGGTGAAGTGGGCTTTTTCAAAGGGCCACAAGTTAAATCTTGGGGGTTGTGAGATGATTGATGGGAAAGGAAAGATGAAAAAGAAAAAAAAAGTTTGAATTTAGTGCACAGTCCCAGTGATGAAGACGAAGGAATGTGACATTAAATGTGACTTAAACTGATGACACTTTGTCTCTGTGCTGTTTCTCAGAGAAGCCCTGCGTGTAGCCTCCACCCTCCTGCACGCCGCCGGACACCTGCTCATCACTTCCGCCTCCATTATCCGCCGCATCATCGAAGGCGCTGAGCTGTGGCAGCCACAACAGAAGACGGAGTACACGGCCAGCTGGAACTAGACAGAGCCAAGAGAGACCGATCCAGTTGAAACATCTGGTCCCATTGTTTAATCAGGATTTGTAGGAAGGTCTGAATCTCATTGGGTATCTATTGTTTTGTGTGGATGTAGAATCTGTATCAGCAATCAGTGATAGTCTTATACGAGGTGATCATATGAACTTCAGGTTATAAACAGAATGTAACAAGAGAAAAATAAATGTCAGTAATAACAGAAGAGGCTTAGGATGTAGCTGGATAACATGAGAATGAGTGTCATTGGTATTCTATTTTTGTGCAATATATACATAATGTTGTAGAATTGTACTTTATTTTTTGTTAATTTGGTGCATATTATGTGAACTGCTCATTACATGACATTACAGGTGATAACAAAGCCCTGTTTGATCTGAAACATCAGTCTTTTTTGAAAAAAAGGAAATATTACAGTTGCAGTTCATTTAGTCAGTTTATTAATGTTTCGATGTAACTAATCACAAGAGGAGTTGTGTTTCGAACAATCAAAGTCTTTTGCTGAGAATAAAAACATTTGCACAGCACACAGGGACTCGGGGATCTTTTGTAAAGGCAGTACATGCATGTTAAGTAATCACAATAACAGTATAACAACAACATAAAAGAAAATGACTCAAGCATGCGTCTTAATTTGGGGAACGTTTTATCAAACATCTGTCTTTAACTTCGGCACGCTTTCCCCCCGACACAGCCTTCGATCTTCACCAGCGCTTTCAAATACTGCCGGTAATTGATGTTGGCCAGCGCCTGGCTGTACTTCTCCTGAGTCAGCCACTTCGGTCTGGATTTCTTGACGTAATAGCGCATGTCACCGAACCACTGAACCAACAGGTAGCGGGGGATGTTAATCCCCATCGCCAGTCGGGTGTAGTCCTCCACACCTGGATACTGGCAATTGGAGAAGGCCGCCTTCATCATCGCCAACTGGGTCCGCGTCTTTGTTTTGATGCGGACCTGCCTGGGAAGTGTGCGTGTGTCCACCACAGGAGAGCCCAGCTGCTGGGTCACGGTGGGTGAACCGTCCACAACAAGGTTATTCTCACCAGGCCACGCTTGCAGTAATCTTTTGTCCGCTTTTCCCTTCTTCTTCTTCTTTCTGGTGAAATGTGTTGTCTTCGTCTGGGTGGATGTTTGACTCTCCCTCTCAGCTCCTTCACTTCTTATTTCTCCTCCTTCTGCTCTCTCCACAACACCTTGCTCCACTCTCTTCTTTCCCATCTTGTCCGTCGCTGTCGTCCTTTTGCGCTTCTTCTGAGCATTCCTTTTGTCTTCTTCTCCTTTTCTGTCATTGTCTTTCTTCACTGGTTGTTCCGGCTTCATTTTGATTTCCGATCTCTCAGTCGCCCTCACGTTTTCTCTCATCATCCTTCCCTCACTTGTACTCTGTTCCTCCCGAACCTCTCCTGCCTTCTTCTCACCCTCCCTTTTGCAGGTCTTATCCTCTTTCACCTCTGCCCCCTTTCTGTTCTGCGACTCTTCCTTTCCCCGACCTGACATTACTTTCGACCGAACATTGGGGATGTCTTTGTAGTCCCAGCTGATGCCATAGCGGAGCCTCTGGGCCATGAACCACACCATCACCTGGTCCGGGTGCAGAGAGCAGCGCTGCGCCAGTGCAGCTGTCTGTGTCTGGGTCAGGTACGGAAACCGGTTGAAGGCCTCGTCCAGCTCGGCTGCACCATCCAGCTGCAGGTTGAACTCGTTTGAGGACACCCATATAAGCCTCTGGCTGTCAGAGACCAGGGGGAGACACAGCACACTGCTCTGGTTCAGACGGAAAGCCGTCCGGGCAGCGTTTATTTGTTCGGGAGCGTTGGGTGTCTTCTGTCCGAGATGGAGGAGTCCATTAGCTTTCTGCCTCATCTTTCTCATCTGTTGGAGTGACCCCTGGAAATAGCAGACAAACAGAGTGTTGATAACCAAGGAAAATATGTATTCATTTATAAAATAAAACACAAAAACTGAAAGGTAATCATCTGAACGCACTTTCATATTTTTCTAGTATGTACAATATACTTTAAAACATACAATATAAAATGACATATACTGTGATAAAAGATCAATATTAGCCACATCTACTTCAACTAAACAGTATGAAAACAAAAATACCTGTTTAATAGAGATGTTATTTACTACAGCAGTACACAAATCCTTCATTTAAGTACAAGTTGCCTACTTTCAAAATAACCGTAACGCTGGCGGTTAATTAGCTTTAATTTGGTTAAAAATTCATATTGACATAGCGAGCTAAATTCGCGCTAAAGTCTGACGTTCGGTCATTTCTTTCCATGTTTGTGTAATGAATGTTCGTCTAACATGGAGAACCAGGGACAACCGAGTTTAGAGTAACGTGCAGTCACGTTACATGTCATCGATTTCGATGATTGATTTGGCTGCGGTCTGATTATCGGCTTGTTAGCATTAGCCGTAATGTTAGCTAGTTAGCTAGCATGCTAGTTAGCTAGCCAGCTAGCCTGCGTGGTACCTCACTGCTGCCCGCTCAAAGGACGTGTTAGCCTGCTAGTAACGTAATGCTAACTGTTATAACACAGTAAACACAGTAACAATGCGTTCCGTGGCAGTATCAAGAAGACATTTATACTATCATTAACTTTAAATAATGAATGGTTTTAGTTCCCAACGTACCTTTAAGAGCACAACAAAGTATTGTGCACGTTTGACAGGTGTTTTTCTGCTGATCTGGTTTAGTCTATTAAAACCGCCCAGTGGATCCAGATCAAGTTTCTCCACATCCTCTCAATTTGATTATGTATGGTATGATTACAAGTTAAATAATGCATGATGAAAATACTATTTATATATTAAAATATACCCTTATCACGTTTATTTGGTACCTGGCTGAAACTTTTGCAGTCTGATGGAGACAATACACCGGCAATAAATCCAACCTTCATCTATGTTCTATTATGTTCATTTGTTGTTGAAAAATATTTAACAGAGAGATGTTTTTCCAACTTAATGGTCATTTTGAAGACTAATTACCATCTGTTTTCCACCTTAAATACCAATGCACACCTATTTTGGTTCATGTGTAGGCTATGCGCAGCAGCTCAACATACTGGGTGAATGTGAATATTGATCAGCAGCAGTGGTGATTAGATAGATTGAAGGGTGATTATGAAATAGTCAGCAGCCTGCAAAAGCAGCTGTGGAAGCCAGATACTGTATACATCACCCACATTCATTAATGCTACTGATGTAGGCCCTAAATCAGTCCTGCTTTAACCAGTGTTTAATTTAAATAAAGTATTTATATTTTAAGCAATAATCCATTGTTGCATTACATTTGCAGCAAATATGGTGTGATGAATGAATTATAAGATTTTGTAATGGATTAAATTGGGTTTATAAACCCCAATGTTTACACCAACATGTTTTGTCAAGTTATATAATATATTCCCACTCCCATGGGTGTTGCTCATTTCTATTGTGTGAAATGAAACTTATCTAACCTAACCAGGCCTAACAACAGGGCTCCACCCCCTGGAGTTTTGGTTTAGCAGAATCGAAACTGATGTGCAGTGCTGCTGTGGAAGAGCATTCAGACCAGAGTCTGAAAGATCTGAGACGGGTGAACTACTAAGTTCAGCAAAATCTTACTTAATTTGCAGTTTTCTGCCAAAACAGACTCAATCAAAGAGCAACAAGCAGGATCCTAAGGGCAACACTGAATGATATTCAAGAAAATCAGGACTTCCTGTTTTGAAAAATGTCTGAAAATCGTCAAAAGGACCCACATGTTATCCTGTGCGACATGTGCACAGAGGAGGACAGGAAACCGGCACGGAAGACCTGCATGAAATGTGAGATCTCCATGTGCGTCCAGCACCTCCAGGCCCACCTGACCACTCCTGTGTTTCTAAAAACCCACCCTCTGACTGAGCCTATGGCTTTATGCGGGACCACTAAATGCCCCCAACATGACAAACTCCTGGAGTACTACTGCTTGGATGACATGACCTGTGTGTGTGTTTCCTGCGCCATTGAAGACCAGCACCGCATACACAACATGAAGACCTTCTCCACAGCCCACAGAGAGCTCACGGAGAAGCTCAACGCTGAGCAGCAGGCCTTGCTGATGAAAACCGAAGACAAGAACGTGAGTCTGGAAAAATGGGAGAAGAGCGAAAGAGAGAAGCTGGGTCGCTCCAGCGTGTGTCTCATCGAGGCTGTCACAAGCCTGAGTAACATTGCCCTGACTACTGTCCAGAGCTCAGTGTCTGCCCGCATGGTGTCGATCAAAACCAGCAAGAGCAGCATGCAGGCAGCACAGAAGGAGAAGGACCCCTTCAGATTCTTGCAGATGTATTCCCAGGTGCATCAGGATGTGGAGAAGGCCAAGGCTGTGGATCTGAGAAAAGGGTTGGAGCCCGGCAGAGAGCGGGACAAACTGCTTCAGGAGATAAGAGAGGACGGTGAAAAAATGGTAAAGCAAGCAGGCCTCTTCTGTGGATCTCTGTTGTCTCTGGTTGACCCAGAGAACCACCAGGAGCTCACTGCTGCTAGTTCAGACCTGATATTTGACTCACAGACCTTCGGCCCTGGCATATCACTGTCCAAAGACAGAAGGAAGGTTTTCCACAGTAGTGGGCAGGGGCAATGTTCTGCCACTCTTCTGATCCGTAGTATCCAGACAGTTCCTAACTTTCAGAGGTGGACGGTCAGTCTCTCCCGAGACTCTGACTGGACCGTCGGTTTATGTGACAAACAGCCTACATATAACTTGAAGGACGGACATGTCTTTGGTCTGTGCTGCCAAGGTAACCAGCTCAGCTCTCTCACGACAGAGTATGACAAGGGTGCTGCTGCATCTGTCGCTCCAAAAGGTCCTTTTGTGCAGCAGAGATATGTCATGGCCACACCAAGGACAAGACGCATGGTTTCCTTAGAAGGTATTTCTGTGGCGCAGAAAAATGTCATGGCCACACCAAAGAAACAACACAGGGTTTCCTCTGCATTAATCACACATCAGGGCAAAAACGGAGATGAGGCCGTACCACGACCTGAAGTGGTGGAGGTGTTTTGGAACTTTGGGTCTTCTTCGCTGTCCTTCTTCAGCAGAACCGGACAGCACCAGAGGGAAGAAATAATCACAATTAAGATGAGCTGCAACAACTGGGACCTGGCCCCCTTTGTTCAACTAGGACAGGAAAATGCCCAAATCAGCTGCCACCAACTCTACCACTACTTTGGTGGACAAGGTGGTGACATATGCACCACAGAGGTGGTTTGTGAACTTCAGTAATCCGTGGGATACTGCTGATCATTGCTAATCATAATAGAAATCTAAGAAGTGCATAGCTACAAATATCTACAGCGATAACGTCTCTTTGGACGAGTATAAATCTCATTGTTGTTAAGTTGCTGTTGAATCTATAAATAGTGCTTCTAGTGCAGATATTAGTAATAAGTCAATGCTGGGATTTTTATTGTACAATATAAACATCATACACTTAAAGCAAATGTAACGTATTCATCTGTCTTTTGATTGTAGTGATGTTAATTAATTCTGTCTGCCAGTTTAATGTTTGTCTCCATCTACTGGTGGTGAACGCATCATCGCTCTCACATAGTAGTTATCTCACAGCTTAAGGTCAGAGTTTGTAAATCAATAATAAAAAATCAGTAAAATCGTAAGACGTGGAATGTTTTTATTGACCGTTTTAAAATAAGTGAATTTAAAAACCGTAACAAAAATGAAAGAACGCAGATCATGCAAGAACAGCTTGAAGTGGAGTAACTACAGACACTGTGTGAAGTGAGACCAATACGTTAAAACCTCTGAAGAACAACTTAATTTAAAGGAATGCAGTGAATCATAAATGAATTTAAATGCACACATTAAGCCCACACAGACTTTTGGTACTGAACAGGAGCAGCTGGAACCAGAGAAGAGAAGAATCTGCATATATCTTTATGTTGAATAACACCTGTGTGAGGACTTCAGCCCTTCATTGCTATGTGCTCGAGTGCTGCACTCATTCAGTATGTACTGTGGTCCAGGTATACATTCTCTCTAAATCTAACTCACCTACTTTTTAAAATAAAAATGTAACGTATGTGTGACACTGTAGTTCCATAACATATCAATGAAACAATAATAAAAACTATTAGACTCTCAAATTACAAAAATTAAAAAGTGCAAAATTTAAAGCGTGGTGGAATGATTGAATTTCTAAAAACATTTGTTTTCAATTTAAGACATTTGCTAAAATTGTGTGTGAGACAATGGCTTGCAGTATGATCTCGGCACAGGGCATAAACACATGTTGTGGATACTTTTGATAGACAGCTGCAGATTTGCATACATGTAAAAAAAGAACTTAGCATTGGAATGATGAGGCAGCAGACATGCGAAGAGCTGGACATGTACTGCTCTAGTTTGGTCTGACCTCTGAAACTCTTTAAGAATCGGATAATAAATGTAACAGTCTAATGTGTTCATATCAGTGAAGTCAAAACCCAATAAAATGAAATTGCATTAGCTTTAACAACTAATAAGCATAGTAAAAGCACTTAAGTATTAATATTCATGTCTGTGCAGACTCATGGTTCCATCTGAAAGGAGCGTCGAGCTGCACGTTCAGCTGTCGTTGCCGAAGACGGTGTTGAGCTGCTGGGTGACCCTGATGAAGGTGGTCCTGCGGCTCAGCTCCTTCAGTTTGCCCGCCCCAACGTAGGTGCAGGAGGAGCGGACCCCGCCCAGGACGTCTCGTATCGTCACCTCCACCGGGCCTTTGTAAGGGACTTCAACTGTCTTCCCCTCCGACGCTCTGGAGGCGAGAAACACACTGGGGTTATCCTCGGAGAAAATGTCCACTACGTACACCCAAATCACCCACAAAGAAACGTTTTTGCCTTATATATACCAACATAACTGTGGGGCCCTGACCTGTACTCAGCCACGCCTCCTGCATGTTTCTGCATCGCCGTGTCGGAGCTCATGCCGTAGAACAGCTTATATTTCTTGCCATTTTTCTCAATAACCTCTCCCCCGCTTTCTGAGTGGCCAGCCAGCATACCGCCCAGCATCACGAAGTCCGCACCGGCACCGAAAGCCTTCGAGACGTCTCCTGGGCAAGTGCATCCCCCGTCCTGTGTGAAAGAGGAGACACGGCAAAACAGAACGTGAGAGAGTCACTCTGTTTATCGCAGCAAAAGATAAGGCTGCACATTCTCAGGGTGAAATGTCTACCAAAGCCACACTGGCTGTGGGAAAAGAAGATATGAATGAGCAACAGTCTCTATCAGAAGTCTCAGTTTTAGGGAATAGTTCTTGCTCGCCTCGAGTTAGATGAGATGATCGACACCGCTCAATACCACGAGAAGCGCAAGTAAGCAAATGAGCCTATTTCCCAAAACTATCACATTATTTCTACACAAATCACTGGATGATCAGAGGAGAGAGTCACTCACAGAGATGATGTGGCCCCCCAAGCCATGGGCTGCATCGGCACACTCGATCACAGCGCTGAGCTGGGGGTACCCCACCCCCGTCTTCTTGCGGGTGGTACACACAGAGCCTGTAGAGGAAGACACAGGGGCAAGAGATGACTTTCTCTCCCTCTTGTTTCCTTCTCCTTTTAAAACAGGAAACTGAATGTGCAGGCATTGTTTGTGGTGTATTTGATCTGTATGTGCCAGATGAATAAAGGGTGACCACATAGCACATACCCACCCAGGAAAGTTCAGTGAAAGTTATTTTAAAGTTACTACCAGAAACGTTTTGGCGGCCCTTGTGGCCAAAGGCGGTAGTGTTTCCGAGCACCAGAGTCCCTTTAGAATCCTCTTATTTTACTGTATCAGAGGTCTGACATCTGCTCCGCTTCAGTCCTGGTTCTGGTTTTTCCCGTGTCCCCCTTTCCAAAAGCGGGCCCAGCAATACGGCCTGGGTCTCCAGCAGCGTGGTGTCTGGTGAACCTGCATGATTTCGTCTGATTTCATTTGATTTCGCCATAATTTAATCTATTGGCACTGGTGACAACCATTAGGAAAAACTATATAGAAATTAACAATCTTCTTGCTGATTGTCTCGTTTACTTACCTAACCAGCTAAAAGTTCCTCATAGTAACTTTAATATAATATAAATAACATGTAGACATAGAAATATGTTTTTGCAGTTTCACCTGGTCCGATGCCTACTTTGATGATGTCCGCGCCAGCCAGGATCAGCTCCTCTACCATCTCTCCTGTCACCACGTTTCCTGCCTGAGCCAAATAAAAATCATCATAAAAATAGTTTCAATGAACATCCATTCCCTTTTTTCAGCCCCCCCACACTCGCCGCAGTTTAAAGGCAAGACATCTACTGACCATGATGGTGTGAGAGCGGAACTTCTCCCTGACGTCTTTGACAAAGTGAACGAAGTGTTCGGAGTAGCCGTTCGCCACGTCGACACAGATGTACTGCAGCTGTGGCACCGCCGCCAAGATGGCTGAAATCCGGTCAAAGTCGCCTTCCCCGGTCCCTGTGCTGACCGCTACATTCTGAGAGATAAACGGAGAAGAGGAACAATGAAATACTACCATTAACAAACTTCTTGAAATAGAGGAACCATAACTAACACTTTGAGTACCTTCAGGCAGTCAGGATTCTTTTTTGCAAACTCCACCCAGTCATCCACGGAGTAGTGTTTGTGAACCGTGGTGAAGAGAGTGAACTAGTGCAGGAGAAAAAGAAAAGCAAACGTTTGTACGAGAGAAAATGATGAATAACATTGAAATAAAGTCTAACCCTGTGTGCTCAATGAGGCTCGTAATGCACAACTTACCTCGTGCAAAGCCAGGGCCATCTCAAAGGTCCCCACGGTGTCCATGTTTGCGGCGATGATGGGGATCCCCCTGTAGCTGCCCTTGGAGTTCCTGAAAGTGTAGCTCCTCATTAGGTCGACCTGGGAAAGGCAAGAACAATGTGACATTAGCGTACAAAATACTTTTATAGACAGTCAGACGGCAGCAGGAGCCTGTATTATGTAGATGCAGGTTTTGCGGCAAAGGGGTCACTGCTTGAATCCTCTAAATAACTCTAAATGTGTTCACTCAAATCACTTTAAACTAAAGGTTCAGTTAATGGAAACCTCTTCAGTCAGGTGTCATGTGGAGAAGAACCCTCAGCTGTGACACTTACCTCGCTCCTTGACTTGAGTGTGCTTCTCTTTGGACGGAGGAGCACATCCTTGAAGTCCAGCTTGATGTCATTCTCAATGCGGGGCATTTTGGAAACAGGGTGAAATGGAGCAGTTGAAATGGCCTTGAATCTGTGAGAAAGAGAGAGTGAGATCAGAGTTTAGCATGAATGCTTGATGCTGGGTCTTTTCCTCCCTTCACACACTCACACATGGGCTTCAAATGCCATTAACTACACCAAGCATAGTGTAGGGGTCTGAAATGTACCCGTTAAAGATAAACATCATTCGAAAATATAAAGCAAAATTATCCAAAACTGTAATTACTATTTGGTGGAGATGTAATAAGGCTAGTTATTATGCTAGCTAACAAGCTAATTACAGCTTGCTCCTGACTATTCATTACGCTATTCGCACTAAACGATGTCAAACTTCAAGGTTAGCAATGCTAAAAGTGTCAAATGTCAATCAACTTGATGCACGTTAGCATTACAGACCGTTACCTAAGCACAACTTATGTATTAGTCTACAAATTAGTTGTGCTTTAGATTTACAATAATAAAGTATTTACCTACAGGAAAGTCTGGTTGATTTAGTCCGTGCGGCTGGTTATCTCATCCGCGGTGTGCGCGGGAAGCTTTATGGGGGCGGACACCAACTGATAGCCAACTTGTAGTTTTTAAAGGGCTTTAGCTACTCGGTGGTGCGCAGGCAAAAACTACAAAAACGCGAGGCTTGCTTTACGCCACGTCGCACTGGTGTCGCAAAGATTGTTTATTATCGCTGTTCAGGGAATATAATTCGGGTTGTGTTGTGGACGATAATGTAAGATATTTTAGGGGAAATGTTCTGCTTTTTCGACGGGAAAATGAAGCGAAGTCTGAAACGGTCCGAAATCAACATGAAGCGGAACCCTTCACACATACACACACGAGGGTGCGGAGGGATCCGCTGAGACACACAGGAAACAACCATTACATTTTGGAAGGGAATGAATATCAAGTTTCCTCACAGAAATCTCGTGTTGTTATCACTATCGTACAATAAAGTTCCTGCTCCACTTCGTTTGATAAAGACAAGGCAGCAAAGATGCTGATTAAAGTGAAGGTGAGGCAAAGCGAGTGCTAAATATTGTAATGGTTGTTCATACCGAGTTGTGCTCCACAATAACCTGACATTGTTTTTTTTTAATATCAGACACTCACAGGCAAAGAGATTGAGATTGACATCGAGCCCACAGACAAGGTATATAATCATCTTTTATTTGCTCATATGTTCTGTATATGCTGATAATTAAATGTGTAATTCAGTGTGTGTTAATGGTTTACATGCATTTACATCCAGGTGGAGCGGATTAAAGAAAGAGTGGAGGAGAAAGAAGGGATCCCTCCGCAGCAGCAGAGGTTGATCTACAGTGGAAAACAGATGTAAGGATAATCCACAAATACTAGAGAGAGAGAGAGAGAGAGAGAGAGAGAGAGAGAGAGAGAGAGAGAGAGAGGGAGAGAGAGAGAGAGAGGGAGTGTCTAAAAACAATTAAAAACACATCATTGAGCCACACTTTTATATTCCCTTCAGTACGTTTGTTTTGAGTCCATCCCACATATTGTCACCATACTGGCGGCTGAAAATAGTCCCAAACAAATGCACTATTTACTCCGTCTATTTTTAATAATAGCTTTTTTCAAACTACAGCATCACGGACCCGTTATTAAAGATTCATATCTTTGTTTGACGTTTTTTAATAGAGGGTTTTCCGCTGTCTGACGTCCTCTGCCTCCCCCCTCCGTCTCTATTCCCAGGAACGATGAGAAAACCGCAGCGGACTATAAAATCCAGGGAGGCTCTGTCCTCCATCTGGTACTCGCTCTGCGAGGAGGACGGGGGCTCCACCCTCCAAGAAGCCGACACGCCAAGGCTGCGTTGTAGCCGCCGCTTGAAATCACGCCTTGGCTTTTTTCCCCGCGACGCCTACACTAACAGGACACACCGAGGACGCACAGCAGTGTGTTGCAGAGTCACCTGGCGGCATCGTAGGCAAGAGACGGAGTTAGATCAGGTTCTACTGGTGTTGGCCGCAAACACTCCCCCCCTACTGTAACGTTGGCATGGCGAGTCACACTCGTTAAGGTTGACCTTACTTTCAGAATTATACAAAGCTTTCGGCCAAAGATTTACAACAATTGGCTGCCACAGAAAAATGTGTTCAAGTCATTCTGTGGCTCTGCGTGTCAGCATCTATCTTTGGTCCACTGATGAGATAATTGTAGCGTAAAGATGCATCCTTGGATTAGTCTTTACATTCAGAGTGTGACACAAACTAACTACTAAGTGAAAACTATAAGTGAAGGAAAAACCTCCCACCACTGGTTCTTAATCATGTAGCACAGAGTGTGCAGTGTGTACATAACGGTGTGAAATGGACAGATGCTGTGGATTAGTGTACAATAAACTTACGTTGATGCTTAAAATGTCTCACTTTCCGTTCACCATTCTGTGTTCTTCATAAATTCTTTTACATTTTTCAAAACAGCTGCACAAAGGAGAGGGTGAAAATTCTAATGTTTTTTTATTCTGGTCACACACTCGCCACCAATATGTACATTTACATTTTATTACACAAAAAGAGACTTAAGTTTGAGAGAAATTTCAGTCAAAATGATTAAGAAATAACATTCTTATCAGGCAGTGTATTGCAGTGTGAGGGTGTATTGCTTAGATTATCAGTATCCATGACTGTCACAACATAGAAAACTTCATATTTCTACCATATTGAAGGCCTGCTTTGGTCTGAATTACAGCAAGAAGTTGCAGCTTGTTAAACACAATCAACACTGTTTAACCGTCTGTAGAGTTTAAGCAGTAGACAAGATGGTGAAGCTCTGAGTCTGCACAGATTACATCGCCGTATCACATAAAGTTGCAGCATTTGATTGATAAGGTGGAAACATTCTCAGGCCTCAATCATGAGTTTATGTTGCCTGTTAAAAATGAAGAAAAATAGATGACTGAACGCAACGAGAATCACATTCTTTGAAATGATGGCACAGCGGAATCAAAATAAAGAATATAAATGAGGCCTTGAGCTACAAATTCAAACCTTAGTCAGTGGTTTTTATTTACTAAGAGACAAAATACAGACATGTGTGTATACTCTGTAAATACACAATAAACATACAGCCACAAAAACACAATCACTGTACTCGTGAAGACATCCAGGACACCCTGTTCCCCTTTACAGTTCAACGAAAGACACCTGCATGTTACTGGCCCAACTTCAGCGATACTTTTGAACGATTCACTTGCCGTCCGTCCTCTTCTCATCTTTTTCTGGGACTCCCGAGGAAATAAATATCTAAAAGCACCAGTACAGACATTAAGCACTAACAGACTGGATTTCAAACAGGCTATCAGTGAGATCTGTTTTAGGCAGTGTACTGTGTGTAAACAGAGAGCAGTGGGGATGCCCTGAGACACTGATGGATTATAGAAAGACTTAAGAGTATATGTGTGTTCATGTGTGCAGGAGTGTTGTTTACTATAATATGTACTAAAATCTCTTCTAGTGAATTGTATGAATCAAAAATGATGTAAAGCTCTAAATTTCTACAACCTAAATAAAGAACAAAATCATTTAAACACTAGCTAGATGGTAAGCTACAAAAATACTTCTTCCGTAAAACATGTAAGACAATCAATGCCTCACGCAGGCATTCGCATGTATGGATTTGCACATTAACGATGCGGACGTGATGGTGAACATCATCATGTCTCGCCTATTTATCCACTCTACTTCACATGCTGGACTTGCAGTTTTAACGGGTAAATTACCAGTGTGGTGTTCATACAAGAATCCACTTTCCAGTTGTTTTTTTGTTACTTCAAAACATTTTAAAACTCCCCCAAAGTATGAGGCATCAGTCATAAACAGAGCCGCATCGGCGCCCAAATACTGGCTGTCTTCTAAATTAAAGCAATTAACAAGAACTGTGCGACATTTACCGACACAAAGTACAGATCACACATCAGCTGTCAGGTGAACGCCTCCACAAGAGTAAAAAAAACAATAGGCTCAGATGTGTATGACCTTAAGTAGAAAAAAAGAATATCAACAGAACTAAAATCAAGAGTAAAGTAAAATAACAAAATACATCAAATTATATAAACAATCATCGTACATTTCGGAGTCACAGTCAGCTTCGAAACAACGCAGTACTTAGTGAACTTCACTACACGAAATGACTTGATCGGATTTTCTGCTTTGACAATCAAAATCAAAATCAAAATACCCAAAATACAGCTTTGGTGTGTTGAGTGGATGACAAAGCAACATCCCTTACAAAGTCGCAAACAAAGCAAAAAAAAAAAAAAGGTGTTTGCGTAGCCATGACAGTAGAGTAAGAGTCTTTTGATAAAAAGATAAAAAAAATACGACTACACTAGGAGTGTGTGGAGGAGGAGAAGCAGGATGAAGATGATGAAGAAGAGTAGTCTGTTCAGTCATGTACTGAGAAGGCGCTAACCTTTCTTTAATGCACTTTTGAAAGACCCCAGACAGAAAACTTTGAGGTCGTATAACTCAAAATATCTCCCGCTGTATTTGGCACAGAAATTATTGATTGATACAAAACCAAACCAAAAATATTTAAGACAGAGTGTAAATACACTACAAACTGTGGTGTATGTTCGCTGTATGTGTGTGTGTGTGTGTGTGTGTACGCACCCGTGTGTGCGTCTGCATATGTCTGTATATTTTGGGGGCAGGTGGGAGATGGAGATTTTTAGCAGTCCCCTGACTTGTGGTTGTCTCCGTCCTCCTTGGACAGAGGAGACCTGGCCTCCTTCATTTCCTCTCCCTCTCCACTCCCGACGCTCTTACCCATGGCCGGATAAACCACCACGCAGAACTTCTGGCCAAAGTACGTCACCTTATCTGGAAGAAGAGAGTGACAAAGAGCTTCAGGACCAGCGCGGTGATTGGCTTTCAAATGAGACAAAATGTATGTAGCATATGAAGAGAACGCTTTTACTTGGATGTATTTAATTTTTCTAAAGACAAATAATTTAAATGTAACCATGTTTCATACAAATATGTCACCATTTTTCGAATTAAGTGATGTGTCAAAGGAATACTTTGCCATTTTTGGAAATACTTGTATTCATTTTCTTGTCAAGAGTTAGAAAAGATCCATTCTGCTTAGCTTAGCATAAAGACTTGAAGCAGCTAGCCCGACTAGTTCAAAAATATGCTAACAAGAATAGCTTCCCCCTAAAACCACAAATTGTCGTTTGCACATTTCTGTTTTGTTGCTGGTTAAACAAAGGTGTCAATGAATCTTTAACTTTGGAATTTCGTATTCCGTAGACATGCCTGACGATATATAATGAATTTGTAGTTTCAATAATCAGAAAATTTAACATGACAGCAAACTTACCAATGAAGGCGTCGAAGCAATGTGGCTTGTTGTCCCAGTAGACTCCCAGGAAATAGACGGGGACGCCAGTCAGCATGATAGCCAGGCCGATGCCGCACACCACGGGCTCAGAGTAGAGGGAGAAGATGAGCAAGAAGGCCCAGAAGAGGAGGTAAATGGCCGGCCAGATGAGGCTGATCTGGAGGAGAGAACACAAACATATTATGACACTCATGTAGAAAGGACCATTTGGTAGTTTGTATAATAATTCTACTTTTTGCATCTGTCATTTTCTCTCTTTTGTGAATTGTTGTAATAATGGTGCTTTTTGTGGCTGTTTTTAGACAAAGATGGGGCAAAAACACCACATAAACACACCTTGATTGGCCGGTGAATGTCGGGCTGTTTAATGCGCAGGACAATCTGCCCGGCGACGGTGACTCCGTAGAAGAGGTAGTTGATGAAGCCCACGTAGTTGATGAGGGTGTACATGTCACTGGTGCACAGCATGAGCAGGGTGGACAGACACTGAAGGAAGAAGAAGAAGGGAAGGAAGTTTGACAGTTTGTCTGCAGCTTTCAGGGTTTATCCGGAAAAAAATAAAAGGAGTGTGGCGGCGAGAGAGCTACTCACGGTGAAGAGCAGAGCCGGGATGGGAGTGCAGCGTTTCACATGAATCATGGCCAGCAGACTGGGGAGGTGGCCCTCTCTGGCTCCAGCAAAGAACAACCTGCGAAGGAAAGAAATCATTCAGTTACGGCATATTATACGATATTAAAGTCTACAGTGCATCCACCTGTTACATGAGGAAAATGGAAGACTAGAAAGTGCTATGGGCAGGTTTAAATTTAGAGCACATACCCAGAGAACCACTTCACTACAACATATATTCATTGCAATAATTAAAAGGTGTCTCTGTCGGCAGTTGGTGCCCACAAATAGCAGATCCCATATACTGGAAGTTGTGGTCGAGCCAACTTACCGCGAGGAGGTGAAGAGGGATCCGTTGACTCCCCCGAAGGTGGAGAGAGCCACAGAGATGGGCATGATCCACGACATGACTCCCAGCAGCTTCTCACCAAAGGTCTGGTGATGGAGGAGCGGGAGGATGAAGGTTAGAGGTTGGATGACAGAGAGGGACAGGAGGCAGATGGTTAGATTTCATCACGTGTTCACTACCATCATGCAGCCGACTGAGGTCCAAAAGCTATCAGTTAACACATCTGACTCACTAGAGGGCTTCATTCTACTACCAAACTTGTGTGTGAAGTCACAGGACCACCTTGCGTCACGCTCTGAGATACTCACCACAGCAACTGCGTTTGAGGCGAGCAGCTCCTGGGGACTCATGGCCGTGACGTAGGCGATGTTGGCAAAGACATACACGAAGGTGACGAGGGGGATGGAGATGAAGATGGCGCGAGGAAGGTTCCTGGAGACGAATAGAAACAGCTATGTTAAGGAGAGACGGGGGGTTTTAGAGACGGAAATGAAAAGATGTACCTTAGGGGAGGTGCATTAACGGATACCAAGGTTATTAAAAAACGTGGGATTGTTAAAAAGACAGAAAATTCAGAGGAAATGAAGAAATAAAACCGAATAAAACCATGAAATTATACCAGAAATGTTTCTAGGTCAGTGACCAGAATGATGGGGAGAATTAATCCCGTGCTAAATTCAATACTTTTCAGAGAGCTTAACGAAAAATGCTGCTAATCACTGAAAAAAGCTTTAAAACCAGCCGATCCTATAGCGAGGAGCCATTCTGTCCTGTGGGAAGGTGGTTTTAGCAACGAGATATGACTCCAGACAGGAGAAGCAGTGTAAAGTGTCTTACACATAAGGGTCCACCAGCTCCTCTGTGACGTAGTTGAGGAAGTTCCACCCTCCATAGGCGAAGGAGCCTTGTAGGAAGGCTAAGGCTATCAAACCCACGTCGTACTCCTGGAAGGGCTCGAAGGCGTTGGCTGGCTCCAGCCAGTAGTACTCTCCTGCATGTGGAGAAGATAATGCGAAAGATAAGGGGACATTTTTAGTCATATAAGATATATATATAATCTCAGAAAAATTCATGTTTTCAATTTGAGAAAAAGTCTAAACCATCCTCGATCTTTAGGGATCTTCTTGCATTCTCCTTCGTCATTACATTTTTTCCTGCAATCCCCTGTTGAGCCATGTTTTCAGACAGCATTAAAGTATTTCTACTCTCACATGCCGTCCCTCATATATGACCCAAAGCCTCCCATCAAATCAGCCACCGGACTTCAGGGGCCCTACTCTCTGTGGGCCCCTTGTAATAACTGGCCCTCGGCCATGTTGTGACAGCAAACCCACACAGGCGTGCTGATATTAGCAATGTGAGTTTTAACCAAAAAGGGGGGCCCAGAAACTCACTGACCTCTGCGGATGCCACTGGGAGTCCACACTGTCCCGAGTGACTTAAGATGACCCCGGTGACCGCGAGTGTGTGTGTGTGTGTGTGACTTTCGTCCTTTCACACAGAGACACCAGACAAAGGTGGGACAGACTGTGGACATATGCGGTGAGGGAGCTCACCCTTGCAGATCTGCACGAGGCCCATGACGATGATGAGGGCGAGGGCCAGCAGCTTGCCGGCGGTGAATACGTCCTGCACTCTGGTGGCCCACCTCACACTGGAGCAGTTCACCCACGTCAGCAGCACTAGATGCACCAATAAAACCCAGTAAAACACAGAGTTAATGCTTATTCATTTGACCCCAGTTTCCCCATTATGCTTCGTCTTATAGGAGGCTTTTAGATTAGTAAAATCCCCTTATTTCACACTGTCTGGCATTATCACATTTGGTACTAGCGTTTTCCAACTCTTTATTTAACCTCTACAATGTCTACACTGTGAGTGAATTTGGTAGATAAAGGTTTATGAGTCGACTGTTGTATTGCTCTCATAAAGGAACTGTCACTGTCTGTAGAAGTAAAACTCAGATTGTTTCCAGAGAAGAAGAAGAAGTCAATAGCTCTGCGTTTTTTTCTCGATGGAAAGTGAGCAGATCTCAGGTCAGCGAGTGGAGACAGATTAAAAGCTACACACTCGAACACGTGTGCCGTGTCTTAACGTCGACCTCTGACTCTGTCATTGCGTCGAACTTTATCCGTTATCTCTTACAGTACACCTTGTGTCTTAAATGCTTTGCAGTCGTTTTCTTTCTTTGGAAGTACTGCAGGTATTTGATAATCACTATTCTTTTTCCACCTTCTGTGACTTTAAGAAAACATAATAATGATCCCATCCATGCTATTGAAACTCCACTCATCTGGCAGCTTTAAGAGAGCACAACATGGGAAACTGTAGTTGGAACTGGAGGATTACCAAACAAGGACAAAGATAATGGGTTTGATCTGTACTGCTGACAGCAACAGGCCACTGGGTCCAGGCCAATAGGGTGCCATTAAATGATAGGACTGTTTGACTCCGTGGGATTAAGTTCATCCCGTTAAATAACTCCGAGCTGAGCTGCCACTGCAGGGGAATAAAGGCAGATGCACATGAGCAGACATGCACCGATACTGTAGATGTGTGTGTGTGTTGGGTTCAAATAAAGAGACAGGTGCAGAGAGTGGGTTTGTTTGTAGCTGTTGCAGAGATGTTCGTGGGGTTTGTAGGTTGGTGGTGGGGGTGGGGTTGAATTAAACTTCCTACACGTTACTACAAATGACGACAGCAGACAGAACAAGAGTTGCAGTAAGGAGAGGAGCTGCAGAGCTGCTGCTGCTTCTCCCCCCCACAAAAAAACAGAAAATGAGAAACCAAACAAAAATAAAAACTGTTGCCGCCCTGAATAACAAATAGAACTTAAACCTCTTAAGTTAGTCGTACACAAAGTTGCCAACACATGTGTTTCCTGCTACTCCCCTATTTGCTGACTGACAGGCTGCGAGTAAACACCTAGAGGCGGACACACTCTCCGAAACACGGAGCCGAGGGGCCGCTCAGCTGTCCGTAAGCTGAGTACACAAAATGTGTGTATGGAAACTTGCTGAGTTAACCATGGGCCTGCTGGAAAACATGACCCTGCACTCTGCCACCTGCGGGAAGAGACGGACCCCAGGGAGAACCCCCCCCCCTTGTATGTTTTTGAAATGGTACACCTTGAAAAATCTTTGCAACTCAGGAGTTATGAATTCTAGCAGCTCTCATCAGAACGAGACACATTTTGCTTCAGGCATTTCTTAGAAGTGCAACAACAAAGACAGGTAACTCCAGGTCAGTCTGTCTAGTCCAAACACACAAAGCTCTGCCTCTGGTTGTACTTTCTTGTAGATTTGTTGTAACTTCCGCCAAAGAGGTTGTCCGTCAACAGAAGTTAAGTGATGCTTAATGAGGAACTGTTTTCTTGGCTGGACCATCAGAGTAGACTTTGGGTTCTTCAGTCCTGTACTTGGTAGGGAAACACCTCACCTCATTGCATAATGTACAGTAACTGCAGATGAAATCTCTTCAAATGCTTTTGCGATGTCCCGCTGAAGGGCCGACACAGCTTCTCTAGTGTCTCTCTATCTGGAGGCTGCCTGCAGTATTTGGCCCGTGTGTGTGAACTTTGTCGAGGGACTCAAATCAACAACCGTCATGTCCGCCGCAACACATTCATCCATTTGTCTTCCCAGATTCACTGCCCAGTGCTACACTCCTCTAGCTTAACAGATGACCTCTGACTGAGGGTTAAGTAACAAAAGAGCTTCAGGGAAAGAAAGGGGGGGAAACTGAGACATGAATTGGATAAATCAAGTCTTAATTCAGCCAATCTGTGACTGCTTTTAAATAACTTGCAAATTAAAGACAGCTTTGATGATGTAACTGAAACCAACAAAGTGAATACTGCTGCAGTGGAACATGTGATTTAATGTTAAATACATTGCACTACACAGTACGTGTGAGCTACTGGTGTCTCAACCCTGAATGTATAAATGTCGGTGTTTACAGTCACAGGACAGTTTTTGGCGAATTTCTCATCGTGCAATCTTTGATTTACTGGCAGTTTTTTTTCAACATTTGGGCCTCTCTCAACAAGCACTCTCAAAACAGAACTTCTCTACTTCTTTAGGCCGTCTGCACTGTCTCGTCTCTACACAATCAAAAGTGAATCTGTGTGGAGTCAGAGCTGTCAGCTGGTTCACCAGGAATCTGTATTCCTGAAGGAGAAAGAGTTTTGTTTGTAAAATCTTTCCGTCTCACTTTTAATTCCTTCTCTCTCTTTTATCTACCTCAAACACTGTTTCCATGTCATGTGGAGTTGCTAAACTCTTTGTCTTAAGGGAAACACTGTTGAGGAGGAAATATTTGAAATAACAGAGAGCTTAACTTTCTGTTAAAGATTGTGCTAAATCCCTGTGATGAATATTCCAGCCATTAACCACGGCTGATGCACACAGCTGCACCACCAATACCAGTCACACAGGTATTGTACATGCGACAACATCTTTCTGTGTAAACATCTGTATTCACTCACAGAGGCAGACAGCGGCCAGCAGACGCAGGCCACTCTCCGGCGGGAAGCAGGTGGGGAACAGAGGCTGCAGGACGTAGTTGGAGAACGTCAGCGCGATCACGGCCTGGTTGGTCGGGTAGATCACGAGCACGGCGATCCACAGACGCAGGAACCTGAGCAGAATAGGGGTTACAAACGGTTACAAACACAGAGGCATGGGAGAAGCAGCGGGGTGTCCGGAGCACACACAGGTGGGGGGTGAGCAGGAGGAAACACATCACAAAGGCACATGGCACACATACATCCTTCCATTTACTGAGTCCCATTCAAAGCAGGTTACTTTAGGTGGAAAACTCGATATGCTTGCCCTGTCATAGTATCAACCAAATCCACTGTCGTCTGGCTGTGAAAGAACTTTTTAATCGACATTTCAAATTTAATATCTTTGTAGTTTTGTCAGCAAAGTATTTGAAGATGTCACCACGGGCTTTAGGAACCACGGTGGGCACTTTGAGCTATTTTGTGAGATTTTACAGGCAAAACAAGTCGAAAAACAGTCGACAAATGAAGACAGTACAATTAATAATCCCTTGTAGCTGTCACCGCAGAAGAAATTATCCAAATTCCAGGTTAGCAGCTAAGTGAGGTGACTAACACCAACTTGGCAGAACGTGATTAGTGTTAGTCAGTGTGTGGTCACTGTGTTACAAACTGACAGCATGAGTCGCACTAAACTGAGGTGCGCCCTGTCAACAGTGACACAGATTTGACACTGGAGCTTCACAGGCGGGGGGGGATGAGATGAAGGAGAAACCAGACGAATGGTTTTTTCATGGAATTCCCTGAAAGCTTAAAGAGGGATCATTACACCTGACTGCGTTAACGGGATTGTGTCTCACCGGAATGTGTGTGTGTGTTTGTTTAATGTAAAACTGTGTGTTCACATGCTGAAACCTCTGCGTAGACACCAGGGGTAAAAGTAACATTTAGTCAAGTAATCTCTTTTTAATCTTTGCTAGTTTTACTTTATATTTCATATAACCTTATACAGCTGTATGTACTTCGTAGATTGGATGTCGTATGCTGAACATGCATGAGATTACATAATGCACTGCTGTAGATTAAACAAAGCTAAAACTCTTGCAAGTTAATGTATCAACACTTCATACTTCATCACATATGGTTGATGATACTTTTGTGGTATAAGTCCATTTTATTTAAAGATAAATAGCCCTATCTCACAGTCCCGACTCCCTCCTGTGGCATCTATAGTCTAGTCTGTATCACAACCCTCATTGGTCCGACATAACAAAGAGCCTTTGTACATGAAACGTCGTCCATTCAAGTCGCGTTTGAGCGTACGACGTTACGAGCTCTTCCCCTTCTTCTACGAGCTCGCCTTTCGAACCAGCTGCAACAAGCTGATATAAGTATTTCCGTTACTGCGGTCCTTGACTTACACAATAAACACACACATAGGGATGAAAAGGAGCAGGACAACAAAAACAAACACCGCTTGAACACGGTTTATTTATCCTGTGACAGCGGGCACACAGGGAAACGGTGTGGCCCCGACACTTCAAACCGAAAAGTTCATTGATGTGTATTGATAGCTACTGTAGAAAGGGATAAAAAACAATCATTGGCTGTTTTGTCTGGTTTGAATTCCTCTCCCAAAATACCATGATAATATGTATCCTTGTGATAGTTGAAAAAACAATGGTCTAATCTGTGTTTACCGTCTGGGCAAAGGCACAGTGTGTGTTAAATCCACGCTAACAAACGGTATTGTTTTCCTTGGAGATTAAACCAGTGTGGTTCCCAAGCGTGTACTGTGAGAAGTGTTACCTTAAAGCTAACCAATGGTGGATATTTGTGAATCTAGTGTATTTGCTTCAGGTTTAACTTCTGCACTTGACTACAGGCGATGGACCTCCTGCTTTGGATCAAGATGTCTGATCGCCATGAGCAGGCTCATCCACCAGGATAAAGAGAAGAATCTAGTTATGTTGGTATGCTCACTTAAATCCATGTCAAATTAACTTTAATTGTTCGGGAGGCCTCTTCTTCAAAGAAAACGGGGCCACATACTTAATAGACATCACTGTCGACCTGGGGGCTTGTATATATTATGAATAAATCCACAATTTGCCTTAAAGTAACTTGTGATTATTGTGAAAAATAGCATTTAACTTTGCTGTATAAAATGATAATCTAATAATGAATATAAAACATTTAGAACAAATCTTTTGGCCAAACTCAAACCCACAATTTGTAAGTTGTTCTCTTATATTTCAGTCTGCTTTGATGTATCCTGCTTACTGACTGACATCACACCTGCAAACGTCGCGTGAAAATGCACCTGAACACCTCTCTGATTGTTTGCAACTATGAGTAGATGACTGAATGTCTCACCCGGCCAGCCCTCCGAAGATGTCCTTGACGTAGGAGTAGTCCCCCCCCGACTTGGGGATGGTGACGCCCAGCTCGGCGTAGCACAGCGCCCCGATGGCCGTGATGACGCCCGTGACGATCCAGACGATCAGGGCCACGCCCACGGAGCTGGCGTTCTCCATCACTCCCTTCGGACTGACGAAGATACCTGAGCCGATAATGTTACCTGGTGGAGGGAGGACAGAGAGAGAGAGAGAGGTGTCAGGTTTCAGTGCAGATTGAAAAAGAGGTTGTTGTCAGCATGGAGAAGCTGCAGGGTTTACGGCTGTGAATAGGCAGAGGTGAAAGCAAAATCGTGTTTTTTATGGTGGTTGTTTTTAGTGCATTTAAAGGGGCATTCCACCATTTTGGCACATTACATCATTGCCACATCACTTCTGTAGCTTTGGATAAACTGTGTCTAGTCGGAGGAAATAACCCAAGTGCCACCTGTTATCTCAGCCTGGGCTTGAAAGCATTGAACACATTGATTGATTAGTGTTTTGAAGCTTGACCCATTTTGGGAAATAATAATCAGGACCTCTCCGCATCTGCTGGAACATTATTTAGTCAATGTGTCTCTTGCAAGATCGCCAGCTTTAAAGTAAGCTGAGAAGATCGTTACCACTCTCACGTCTGCGCATTATGTTAGCAAGAACAGGGAGGAAATTAGCCTAGCTTAGCATAAAGACTGGAAACAGCTGGAACCAGCTATAGGCTAGCTCCCACCGAAAGTAGAAAATGGCATCAACCAACCCCTCTAAAGCTCACTGACTGGCTAGTTTCTTCTTTGTTCCTTTAATTCAAACACAAACTGAGACAACAAGACTCTAAGAAATCACTGTTTAAGCACCTAAAACCCCAAACTGTCATTTTTACATTCCTGTTTGGGGTGAATGAGTGCAAAGAGGGAGGAGGGGGGGATGAGAGGTAGATGCAGAGGGGGGAGAATAATGCCCTGGCAGATTGAATGAGCATCAGAGTGCCAGGTACTTCACACAGCAGCTGAAAGATGGAGGGGACGGATGACTTGGGGTTCTGGTCCAACATAAAAGAAGCCGAGATTATCCTCCAATCACATTCAGCTGACTGGGTCGGCTGAGGTTGAAACCGGCGGCCAATAAAAAGGCGTCAGGGTCAAAAGTTGAAGGTTCGAATCATGACTGGATGATAGGCTGAGATTGCAATTTTACAGTACAAAAGTCAAAGGTGCGAGTGATACCGTCACGTTTTGCCTGCAGAGTTAAACAAAGTGCGGAGTTTGTGTGGATCATTTTTCCTGCTACAACTGCCAATGAACAAGAACATTTAACATGCGGCTATGTATCCAGCTTGGTGTGACAACATAGTAGTGGTGATTTTAATATTTTATTGTGTAAAAGTTACAAGTATCTGTAGTTCCTGTTTCTCAAATGGGTGATTTGCTGCTGTTCTTAGTATGTTCGAGCAATTTGAATATCTTTAGGTTTTTAGCTATTGGACATACAAATTTGGATTCTATTGCATCTACAGGTCTCTCAAAAACTTTAAGTATAAAATTGGAAAAGAAAAAAAACTTTTTTTGTCAGTTAAACAGCTCACAACTCATGTCCATAGTCAGAAGTAATAGTAGAAAGTTTGGGAACCACTGAACTAAACAAACTATAGATCAATTAATAATACAAATCATCAGATTAGGTTTTTATGATAAAAAAAACATCATTAGTTGCAGACAAATACATTGAAATGTTAATATGGCAAGATCCAGAAAAAGGCTAAAAATTGTCAGTCTTTATACTACGAACATATGCCAAACACATGCCAGCTGAAAGCATGACGGCGTACCAATTTGTTCAACTTTAACAGCTTCCATATGCATCCGTGTGAGTGATTAAGGACAGCCGCTCACTTATGTAACTCCAGTTGCAGGTAAAAGGTAAAAAATGACATCAAACAAACGTCAAACCCCCGATTATGTTGACATCTTTATGGCCACAGAGGTCTTCAGTGCATGACCTGTGACATCTAAGGGGGGGGGGGGAGTATGCCTTGACTCAGCACTTTCCTCAGACTCCCTGATGTGCTTAAGGTTCGCAGAGGCAGATAAAAACAGCACACTGGTGTTCTGGTTTGAACGAGTTCATGTAAAAACTTTTATGTCAGGGTGAGCAAATGTGCACGCTTGCATGTTTATGTGTTCATGACATTGGCAGCCGTGTCGCTCCCGAGCGTGTGAGACGTGCTGACTGTGTGGAATATCTTTAGCTTTCCTGTTCTTGTCGTTTTTTGTTTTTTTTTACATCCTTTTGTCTTAAAAAAAATTAAAAAAAAAAAAGGCCAAGAGAGAACATGACATTTTATCACAGGATATTTTCTTTGTTATCGGCTTGTCGTTTCACAGAGGAAGAGGCTTGGGTCTTTCACGTGCTCTCTGAGCACACATTTCTTTGTTTGATGCCTTCTGACAGCAACAGGCTGAGGCTCCACTTCACAGAGAGAGTTACTTAAGAGAGCTCTGAGGTTCGTCTTGTTGCATGTTTTTACGTTTCTTATCTGTTTTATGTTGTTAATCTGTCATTCATTGACTCAGGCTGCTATATCTAATCAAACAAACAAGCATTGTCATTATCATTTAACCTGCTTATCAATCATCTTTAATATAATCATCTGGTCTAAATGCTTTCATCTTAAGTGGAGTCCAAACATGCATGAGAGAATCGAATTGTTGTGTTGTTTGTTTGCCTCCATGACTCATGATCGACCGCTGGCGCCAGACCCCGGCAGCAGCAGCAGCAGCAGACTATGAATATTAACAAGCACGTGTGTGTTTGTGCAGCATTATGATATAACCCTAATCAGCCTTCCATAAAGCCCTTTTGAGATTAGTTCTTGCATTTCCACCCGGCAATAAATCCCTGTTCAAACTTAGGCAACCTGCTGCCTGGCCCTCAGCCAGACCCTGCAGGCCCTGTGTGCTTGTGTGCACGCATGTGTGTGAGTTATTATTACACCAAATCGATCTACAACACCGAGGCAATTCCCGAGAAAGAGGAGGGTTCGCTGTCATCGTTACTTCTGCCAACTCAGGGTTTAAAGGACATAAAGCTACTGTGATGGCATAGAGCTGAGCACTCATGTTTAATCAAAGTGATGTGAAATTTGTGCAGCAATTAAATTACGAAACACACTGTAGCTCAGACATGGCTAAGCCAGGGGAACTAATAAAAACAGCATTATCGGGGCAGGGCTTTCTTCCAAGTGGCCAAAAGTGCACTTCTAATCCCAATTCCTGGTTTTGCACATTTCTGGATTTGTGTGTGTGTGTGTGTGTGTGAGGGCTGAATGTCTGTACTGTACAATAGGCCATAAAACCGTTTGATGTCCTCGTGTTCTCGGCCCTTTTCATGGAAACCCAGCGGGGCATGTTCACCACGAGAAGATCAGACGAGTCACCTGACTGCGCTGAACATGAGCATGAATGAGTGACTTGGTCAAGGACAAAAGGAGCTGCGAGGAACAGTCTGGTGACTATACGGCGAGGCGTATGGACTCTGGACGGCCGTAAAGTAATCCCCTGAAATGGCATGAGTGGCTTAACGCTGCCAACCCGTTTCTTTGCAGTCGGCTGATGAATGGAGAGTGACAATAAGATAGATAAAAAGTTATATTGGTTGTATTATCTACATGTTGCTGTATAGATATGCTCAAGTGTGGGGTAACAGAGAAAGGATGTTGGCGGCGGCACACACAGGGACTCGCTTGTAGTTTGTGATTTCAACATTTGAAGATGTTTTAACGATCTGTCTGCAATCACCTCAGAGCGTGATCGTTGCCTCGGAGAGGACGACATTATTCCATCAAGACAAATGTGTGTAAATTGAGTTTGAAGTTGGTTTAGCTTTACTTTTGTGTGACTCTGAGCAGAAATTTAAAATCTTTGCAGTAAAACCTTTTAAGCTGAAAAGTTACAAAGTGAGAAAGATCCAAACTCTTTGAAAGTTGCTCTTCATCTCTCTCTCTCTCTCTCTCTCTCTCTCTCTCTCTCTCTCTTATCCTCCTGTTTCCAGCTTCTCTCTGTCTCTCTCTCTCTCTCTCTCTTATCCTCCTGTTTCCAGCTTCTCTCTGTCTCTCTCTCTCTCTCTCTCTCTCTCTCTCTCTCTCTCTCTCTTATCCTCCTGTTTCCAGCTTCTCTCTGTCTCTCTCTTGGGAATTATCACGCACACTCACACACACACACACTCTCACTTCTGTCCTCCCGTTACCATAGACACGCAAGAGGGAATGAGTAAGTGCATAAGGCAACTAGTCGCACCACATGGCAGGTTCAGCTGTACAAACGAGAGTAAAACACACACACACACACGCGCACACACACTCACCAACAATGATTCCGCAGGCGCTCACGAGCCCGATTTCCTTCTTGAGCGCCACTTCGCCTCCCGACTCGCCCCCGCCGGCAGCATCCTTGGCGGAGCCGGACGTGCTGGTCCGTTGTCTTGCACCGTCCGTCATTGTTGATGGCTGGACTTTTTTTTTGGGAGGGGGTTATGTGTTTAATCTTCGTTTACACCACACGGAGCCCGAAGCTGCCCGTGCGCTCGTCACGCCCTGAGTCTCCTGTGTGCGCACGAACACTGAAATGTGCCGCACTTATCTGATGAGGAAAGTTTGTGCAAATAAAATACAAAAATACAAATAAATAGATAAATAAGTGCAGGCGGTTGAGAACTCTTGTGCCAAAAACCACGTGTCCTTCGGTCACAGCGCAAATGACTGGTCACAGGTGGCGCTACAGGTCCGGGTCTGACCGCACATCAAGTCCGGCTAGCGAGCAAAACGCGCATATTCCAGTGTCAGTCCTTAAAAAGCCACGCGAGGAAAATAACTTATTTGTTTCTAATGTAAGCAAAATATCTCAAAATATCTCAAAAACTAAAAAAGCTCTCACTGCTTCCTTGTTCCAGGTGTGAGCTGGAGAGACAAAAGCATCCTCTCTGCGCAAAACCAGAAGCGGCTCAGGTTCTGCCTCGCACACATCCGACCTGTGTTTAGTTTGGAGAGGAGAGATTTTATTTGACTTAATATACATGGTGTCCTTCATATTAGTACAGTAGCGCCGCCTCCTTCCCGCCTCCCCCCTCCCGCCTACTCCAACGTCGGGCTGGTTTTTCCTCCTTCTTCCTCTGCAGGACCCTCCCAACCATCAGCTGTTCTTCCAAACTCACTCCTGCTGCTGCTGCTGCTGCTCTGTGCACCTTCCACATACATCCATAACCGAACAAGGCAGCATATGCATGAAAAACAAACACTTTCTCTCACCGTCTACTCACTCACACACACAGGAGCAGAGGCTGTCGCTCACTCACTAATTATTCATGATGCAGCAGAGGTCTATATTTAGCACCTTCATACGATGTCACTCTATCTGATGCAAGACTGCTGGTGTGTGTGTCTATCCTGTATGCTCACCCATGCTGCTAGTAGGTTGTTTTTGACTGCATGCGTGACCCTGCATGCAGTCAAAAACTGTCTTTTTAGTAAAAGGTTTCACATTTGGTACGAACATCAATAGGAGTACTCATGCCTGTTCAGCGTGAGAATAATTGTGTCTGGTATCGTGGCCTCGCCATTGTTACATATTGTCTGCATACAAATATTTGATCCCTTCAGAAGATCCTCAAGTGTGTCTGGCATCATCTTTATTGTCAATGCTGTGCTTATTATCCACGCTGTGAGCAACTAAAGCTTCCCAAATGCTCGTTGAAGTCAGAAATTAAGCAAAGGTGAACTGGTTAAAAACAAAACGCCTCTGACTTCCTTGATTAGCTCCAGTTTCAAAGTGTCTTTCCCTTTAAGTTAGGATACACAGCGAAAGAGGATACTTTATTTCCTCATTCTTTAAAAAGTACTGAGAGAACAAACAGAAAGTAAGTCAACTCCATCATCGTCTCCTGTGATTTCACAGGAAACGTCAGATTCACCTGAGAGACCCCGGCGCTTCCTGAACAACTGTTGACTCATGATGGTCAGCGCAGGGACGAAATGCAGGAGTTACATAACATCGGCTTCTAATCTCAACAAAACCAGTGTTGTTCTCTGCTGAGCGGGCAGAACAACAAGGTCACCTGAATCACATCAACGCACTGCGACTACACTAAAACATGCTCGTGCCACTGAGCTGAGCCGTACCCACTCTGACCCAGATTCTTGTCATTGTCCCGGCACAGTTCCAGTCATTGGAAAGGTTTTGTTTCTGCGGTGCAAGATGATCCTGAATGTACCTGGTCAGTGAAGCAGGAAGGGGTACACGCCGCTCACTCACAGTGCACGTGCTGGACCATTAGGGAACAGGTACGTGGGCCAGTTTGTTGACATTTTGCATGCGAGCAGCACCTACCCGGAACTTTTCTTAGTAGGTCAGCGAGTACGGCCCGGTTTTGTTGTCTTGATGTGGTTGACACGAGGCTCAAAGCTTCCCTCTACTATTAAACCACATGCATAACTGCTGTTTGGGTGGATAATTTAACTCTTTGGATATGTTCAGAGACCTGTATGTAATTATATACTCAGTAGTTCATAGGTTATATCAGTATTTCAGTTTGAATTGAACCTTTTTTGATTTGTTTAAAGGGACAGCTGATGTGATGGAGGTTCCTCCTTCACATTTACAGTCCATAAAACCAGAATTTCCACATTTAATTGTAAAGTAGTTCTTATTTTAAAAGGTGTCCTTTGTCGAAACAATGAATGTTGTCTTCTTGTGACCTGATGTCAGGAAATCTCGCCATTCTTTGCTGATCAATACATCCATAGGAAGGCTTTGTGATCAAATACAATGACCCTTTTGGCTCTGACTGTGTCAATGGTTCTGGTTCCCAGCAGACTGATTGAATCCAAACAGCCTCCATTTGGCATTGTTTGCTTGATTGCGTCATTCACAGCAGGATAAAGGGATCTGATAAGATAATGACTAGGTAATAGCTTCAGAAAATGGACTGCATCACTGTTGTTTGAACATGGAAAAAGGAGATTTTAAGCTAAATATTTGACATATTTACTTATTTATTGGCCAACGGTTGCTGAATTTGAAATATCTTGAGCTAAAAATACTCTAATCCCTTTATAAAATACCCAAAATATGGTGAATGCAACTCCACCAAGGCTGTTAAAACCTTCAACTTCCCAGCAAATACACCAAGGACATGTCTATTTTATTTGAACAGAATTTCTACAAGTCTAACTATCAGTTTTCTGTATTCGGCCCCCTCCTGTGGCAGCGAAATCAGCCGCTAATGCTAACATGCTAGCACCGTTGCTCACAGAACTATAATTCGAAAGCTAATTTATATCTTCGGCCCTTCAGGTTTAAATTGGGAATATTTCAGTGTCACTGAAAAAAAAAGCCAGCATTACGTAATATTCCTCTAGTTGTATTTGTCACTCAAGCACTCAACAGCTTAAAGGAGGGGAGGGGTCTGTATTTGCAGAGGTCACAGGTATTCCCATCAATAAATAGCTTGAGTTTAGTTCATGTGTGCGTCTGTGTGTAATTAGCTTACTGGACCATTTGAGCAAAGAGATAAGAGGTGTACGTGCTAAAACCCAGGAGACATGGACAAAGAGCAGAGAGAAAGATGGACAGGGAGGGCTTATCTTACTGGATCTACTGAGCATGTACTCTGCATTCAGGGTTGTCTCTGTACTACAGCAGTTTGGAGTCGAAACGGAGCAACAATTGAGATTAAAGTGCAAATTCACAAGTGTTTTAATATTCTGACACCCCAATTCTGAATCCCAGGACAGCGTTCTTCAGCAGTAGGAGAGCACTGATGCCCCAGATTCAGATACGACTCACATCTGAAGACATTTGTCATATTTGTCAGAATTGATGCCCTGGGGGAAAATTTCTGAGAAACACAAAGGAAGAGATAGATGGGACAATGGAGGAGTGCCATGTGGTTTGAACTTCACAGGCATGTCCTGAGTCAGCTGTTTCTGGCAGTTTATCTCTGTGGTAAAGCTGACCCTGGGCCTGTACTCTGATAGCACCACACACGTGCATAGCTGTGTGTGTATGTGTGTGTGTGTGTGGGGCGGTAACGTGCACACAGGACACAAACAGTACATGTACTCACACACAGTACACTACTATTCTTTCAGTTACAATTTGGTTGTATGGTTTTCTCAGCCTCATAGATGAACTATGTATGTGATTAAAACATTTAAATCAGCTGTATTGGAGTTTTGATGTTCCCAAAAGGCAGATTTAATAATGGGATGCACCTCTGCAGCCCTTCTTCCAGTCCTCACCTCTCACACACACATTCTATCTTTCCATCACATGGAAGCTGACGTAATCATCTGAAACATATGTGCACACATAGCATATATGTCCACACACACACACACACACACACTAACTACCTGGCAGGTGACAGATCGGGCGGTGAAAGGCAAGGAGATTTTCCCAGATAAGGCTGTTAATGAGTAACCCCGCTTGTTTCAGGTTGTTTGCTGCTCAGTGGCTGGAAAATTGGAACAATAACATGCAAACACGGAGGTAATGGCCGTGGTGCCAGGCAGGTACACCGCAAGGACCGGACCATAACACCAACAGTCATGGCTGGTTTACCAGGGTTGGGTCCAGAAGCTTTTAAAAGCAGAGTCTTTTGTTTGATGTGGGCAAAAATACCACTTGCATAGAGACAGACCTGGTAAGTTCGAGACTTATCTAAATGTATCCAAATATGCATAGGGATGCAATGACAGAAGAACACATATTTTTAATCCTTTCTGTGGGGTGATTATGTGATGAAATCTGAGATTGAGTCAAAAAAAAAAAAGAATTCTCATGGCCCCGAGCTACCCGGGTCTCACTCTGGTCAGATTTAGCAGCCAATTAAAAGAGAGATGAAAGAGGGTAGATTACTGCTATTAAAACCAAATATGACACCGGATTCTCCCAGAAGAGACCTGGGAGAAGAATTATGCCGATGTCCCTGATGAACTGAGAGTACGGAACCTAGAAGTGGTCCAGAGTCACCTCACCAGTCCTCTGCTCTCTTCTTACTGAACACTCAAACAGGACGGGTCTTTTTCTAACGTGCAATATATGAATTACCATCAGGATGTGATTATAGGTTGTTTTGGTTTTTAGAAAGTATTTTTTTTCCAAACCACAGATAGTAAAATGTTAAAAACAAGTCTTTCTTTTCAAGCGTATTTCCTTGAATGGGTCATAGCCCACAGTGTCATGAGTGGGTTCAGTTTCTCAAACTGTGACATGACGACTAAAGTTACGGCGAGGAACTCTTAAGTGGACATATTGTCTTTGGACTCTCCTCGATCCACACGATTAAGCTCTAAATGTTTCGATGACGTGTGAAAGAACAGAAGTGTGTGTTCAGATCACCCTGAACCAGAGATACAACTGTTAAATCTATTGATGTCTTTTTGCCCCACAATATATCTCACAACCTTAATCATGTAATAAATCTAAACTGTTGTTACCTCCCTAATACTTTTTGTACAGCCCCTAATGCAAAATATTGTTTTTCTTTTATTGTGTTGCTGTTTTTAATCTCATACCATCTACCTACTGAGTTAAAATGTTGTGCTGTTAATCACAAACCAGCTGAATTAGCACAAAGACCAAGAAAAATGGATATAAGAGGCAATTAATGGAGTGTTTGATTTAGGAAATCAAATCATACAACAGTGCAAAGAGCTGTTAATCACTTGCATATTCCCTCAGAGAGGTGTTGCTTCTCCATTATTTAAGTTTGACGAAAGGGTCAGAGAGCTATTGTTAGACTGTGATGGTTTTAATGGGATGAGATAAGTTGTGAATGGACCTGGTTCGGGTATTGTCTCCTTTTAAATCATGTTTTGCTTCCTTTATTTCATTTAACTGAGTCTCTGCTCGTTGTTGATCGACTATGGTTTCCTCTGGTTACAGTAAATCCAATTGTCCCCTTGATTTTACCTGAGTGAAGGGGAAGAAAGCATTGAGTCTTGTGCATTTAACAAACAGGGGCACACAAGTCCAAACTAGATGAAGGACGATATCAGGAGGAGGAGGAGGAGG